ATAACTTCGAACCCTCAAGACAAAGGGGGAAAGACGGAGACGAAGGAATACACTGTGTCGCTGTTAGGATATTCATCCAATATCCCAAGAGAATTGTTGGTCAAGTCCTATTAGTTAATTCCTACTGGTCAATTTTATGGTCGTCCTACATATCAATGTCAGTTGCTCCAATGTTGTTTTTTTATTGATTGTCCTGACTATCAATGTCACTTCAAATCTTACTTCCTATTGGTCGTCTTAAACTGTCAATGCCACAGAATTCGATGCTGTTTCCTTTTCGACCAAAATGTATAAATACGCATTATCTGTGACGTTTATTGACCACGACCAGGGCTCGATCGCGGATCCCTAGTCCAGGATCCTGATTCTCTTCTGGATTCGAACCTCGTACTTTCTGGATGTTTGTAGAATACATGTTCTACTTCATATCACGTCTTCTTATTTTTTACTAAATATGGGAGTTGGGATAATCGGATTTGATTAGCAAGTTGTGTTGCCGGATCCTCGATCCTCGCTCTCGCGTTTCCGACTAGGTAAACTGGTAATAGTTCAAGTATATCAAGTTGACGTGTTTACGTGCAGGCGTAATAGTCGCGAAGGAACAATAGAGTTGGTTGTAGAATTCTGGTCGGTGGCCTATGCTACGTGAGGAGTTGCAACAGGCGTAAGTAAGTAAGTAAGTGATAAGATAGTTCGTGAAAAATGATGAATTTTTCATAGTTCAACAACAACTTGAACTGAACTTAACTAGACTATCATTAAAATCCCAGAAAGCACTGAACAGTTCATTTTCAATGAATGTCTCTGTCTGACATAGGATGAATCTATGATGAACATGTACTAACGAAAGACAAGTTTATGTACAATAGTTATATGAAATCAAACCAAAATCGGTGAAGTGATGATTCGAACGGTTATAATTCTCTCTTAAAATTACAATCCAGCTATTTCCTAATGCTTAGTGTAGTCTCGGACACCAATTCACTCCAGACATTCTCCCCAAATCAGAACACGGTTGAACAGGAAAAAGAGGTTAGGAGGAAGACAGAAGTTCCAAAGGAAAACAACGTTAGTATGTGTATAGATTTCTTACATGAGAAAATTCTAGAATGTTCCCAACAGTATCGGCTAGCGCTGATTGGATTACGAAAGAGCCAATCAGCGTGTAACAAAGCAATTATGCTTTAATCCAATCTATGTGCCACTAATACAAACACTACTCTGTGACAATCTTCTTTACAGTAGTAGATTCTAGGTGACACTCACATAAAGTTTGGTCATTAACAATAAATATAGCTGTTAGCAAGACTAGTGTCCCTATCCGAAGGTACTTACCACCTTACAAACGACAGAGTAAACCACGCGTTCCTAGACTAGTAGTCGTGGAGTTTGAAATGTCAATCAATCCTCTTTTCCTCAAGCAAGTCAATATGTACACTCAGTCAGATGCAACGTAGAACTTCGTACGTAAGTACATCAGTTCATGTCGCCATACCACATCAGCACACAGAGAGATGTAATTGTCAATTCAAATCCAATAGTAGTGGAAGAGGTAGTAAAGGTATTTATTAGAAGTAATCGGAGATGTTAGGATTAGGAGATATTATTCAAGAAGTATGATTCAGTGAGAAAAGTTTAGAAAAGACAAAACTAGAGGTGTTGAAGAATCCAGAAGATTAGGATTTGAGAGAACACAAAGAATAAATGCACCGGCGCCATTGCAAACGGTTTTGAGTCATGTCATACCAAGTCTCTAACCATCGATTATTATCATCTCGCTAACCAAGAACCAGGTAGTCGACAATTACCGACATGGCTAAGTCCATTCGTCAATGACTTCATGGATTTCTGCCATGTTTTGGTTTTGCCGCCCCTAACTTTCTTACAACCCATTCCTACACAACAAAACAAAGCTCGTCGAGGCAGTCGGTGGACAGGTATTCGTAAGACATGTCCCAACCACCTCAACTGATGAAGTTTCACCACTTCATCTATTGATGTGCCATCCTTACCTAGCACCCGTTTCCTAACTATAGCATTGCTTACTCGGCTGTCCCACGATATACGAGCAATGCTTCTCAAACATCTATGATCGAATACTAGTAACCTACGAACATCTTCTACTCTTAACGGCAATGTTTCACAGCCATATAGGAGAACGGAGCGAACTGCTGCACAGTACACTCGTCCTTTGGTTAGCGAACAGATATCACGCCTACGCCTTAAGTGACGCAGGTTGGCAAAAGCCAATCGAGCTTTCTGTATCTGCGGTGAGATTTCATCAGTCACCAGGCTATCAGCACCGATGGAAATACACACAACCACATAACATTTCTCAAAACTTATACTCCTTCTAAATTTCGTAAAAAAAACCCAGCTTCATCACAATAAGACAATTGAATAGGACTTTCCTGACAGTGTATAGCCACAAAAAACGTGTGGCCGGTATGAGAAAGCATTTCACGAGAGAGAGAGAGAGAGCGTGTGTGCACACAAACGTTCCGCAATATTCACGGTTTTAGACATGAGCGCAAACATGATTTGATTGTGGTACATGGTACTACCGGTTAGCTAATATAAAAATACACTCTAAGCACAAATCAATAATATGTAGGTAACCTTTAAAAAATTCGTGATCTAACATGGTTTATAACACATAAGAGATTAGTAAAAATATATGAAAACTTTTTCATTTCATTAGTATCTTACATAATAGATTTTAGATAAGTTGATACTACGCAAATTTTTATTGGTCATTGAAAGAGAGTTAGAAAAAAAACCTACGCGACGTAGAATTTCAAAAAATGTACACGTAGATCAGTTCAAGTTGTCATAACCCCACAGAACATTAACGCACAAAGAGATCGGATTGTCAGGTTAAATACAATAGTAGTAGTAGTAAACGCAGTAAAAGTATTAGCGATAATGAAGAATAGGAATTGAGAGAACACAAAGAATGACATTGTAAACGATTTTAAGCCATATCATTCGAGGTCTCACAGACTCTAACCAAGTAATAATCTACAACACTTACCACAACATGACTCAAGTTCAGTTGTCAGTGACTACATGGATTGGTGTCATGTTTTTATTTGGCCGACCTTAACTTTCTTCTAGCCCTACAACAGGTATCATTTCTCGTTTGGGGAGTCAGTCGGTGGTTGAGCGAACGCAACATATGTTCCAATCACCTCGACGAATAACTACTTCACTACTTCATCAATTGATTTGCCATCCTTACCTAGTAACTTTTTCCCCAACACCAACACTACGATCAAATATTAGCAACCTATGAATAACGTTTTTCTTGCTAGCCATATTTCACACTCATACAGAGTAGGATGGAGCAAACTGTTGCACAATAAACCCGTTCTTCGGTTAGCTGGAAAAAGCCAATCGAGCCTTCTGTATCCTTGCCGAGATTTCGTCAGACACTAGGCAATCAACATAGATGAAATTCCCAAGATAACTGAAGCGGCCAACACACTTAAAACTACTTGAGTGCCTTATCAACACTAGTTCATATGACGATGAAAGCCAATTCTGAAGCATCCCGAACATGCTTGCATTGTTGTTTAAGGTAGTTAGAAGACTCTGCATTTTGTCAACGCCTTCATCAAACAGAACTATATTATCTGTATATTCTAAGTCAACAAGCGAATTTGCTGGCATAATAGTCAGCAACTACAGAAACGTCAGATGCTGAAAATATACGTTCTGTACAAGCATGTCAGTCAGTCAGTAAGTTATTCAGTCAATGAGTTACAACGTAGAACTTCGTACGTAAGTACATAAGTTCATCTTGTCATACCGCATCAGCACACAGACGCAACTGTCAGGACAAACCAAATAGTAGCCGAGGTAGTAGAAGTATTAGCAGTGATCGGAGAGCTTAGGGTTCGACGATATTATTCAAGAAGTAGAATTCAGTGAGATAAGTTTAGAAGGATTAAGGTAAGGGTGATGACGAATTCAGAAGATAAAAATTTCATAGAACACAACGAATGTATGCAACTGAACCATTCCAAACGAATTTGGGACTTGTCTTTCAAGGTCTCTAATCATTGGTGACTTTCGTCTCGCGGGCACCAACCAGGTAGTCTGCAACTACCAACAGGACTCAGTCCACTTGTCAGAGACATCATGGATTTCTGACATGTTTTGGTTTGGCCACCCTAACTTTCTTCCAACCTACTCTTTACACCACAAAACATAGCTGTTCAAGGCAGTCGGCGGTTAGCCATACGTAACACACGTCCCAACCACCTCAACTGATCAAGTTTCATTACTTCATCTACTGATCTGCCATCCTTACCTAGTACTTGTGTCCTAACGACAGCATTGTGTACTCGGTTGTCCCAGGATACACGAGCAATGCTTCGGAGACATCTGTAATCGAATACTAATAACTTACGAATATCCTCTACACTTAACGGCCATCTTTCGCATCCATATAGTAGGACGGAATGAACTGTTGCGCAGTACGCTCGTCCTTTAGTCAGCAAACGGATATCTCGCCTACGCCATAAGTGAAGCAGGTTGGCAAAAGCCAATCGAGCTTTCTGTATCCGAAATGAGATTTCGTCAGTCACCAGGCCATCAGCGCTGATGAGACTTCCCAGATAAGTTAATCGGTCTACAAGTTCGACTACTTCACTCCGTATCACTAGATCAGGTACACTGACACAACCCAATCTTGAAGCAACATTTTGCATTTCGACGGGGAGAACCGCATCCCGAATATGCTTGCATTGTTGCTTAGGGTGGGCAGAAGACTCTTCACTTTGTCAGCGTCTTCACCAAGTAGGACAATGTCATCGGCATATTCTAAGTCAATAAGCGGGCCTCCTTGTAGAAGGTCCACCCAACTCCAAAAGCATGTCTATAATAAAATTAAAACTGTAAAAGAGAGCATATCAATGCAATCAGTGTAATAAGAGAATGTAGAAAGTCAGATCAATCAATACAATACACTACAATGCAATAGAACAATGACTTACTCAATATATTCCGCTTTATTTGCATCTGTTACAAGAATATCTTTACCGCCTGGTTTCAATTCATGCGTACGTAATTCACCTAACACTTCATAATCCATTGCAAAGTACATATCTAAGGCGCATTCATCAATATCGCTCTCTCTGTGTTTGTATGTTTGTTTGTGTGTGCGTATGTGTGTGTGTGTTTGGGTGAGGAAGTAATCGAGGACGATAGGAAAAACAAAAACGAAACACAGTAAACGTTACTATTCAGTAGTATAACAATAATCATCATCAAAATAATAATAGTAATAGTAAATAAATGAATTTGATTGATTGTTAGACATAGGGACTGTGGTGTGAGCTACTTATAAGTAGTATATGATGTGAGTGTCAACGTAATGTTTGGCAGCGGAAGATGGGGAAAGATCAATGGAATTTGTATGAAACGCATGAAAAGTGACAATGGATTGATGTTTTGCAACAGGAACAGTCCAGTTCGATATGATGATGAACTGATATTTTGCAAATGAGCGATTTACGATATGCTTTTCCAATTTTACTGAGTAACTCTGTAATTTTTGTTAAATACAATCCGGTTGCCCTCACCTGTGTTCTCGTTCACTACAGGACAAGTAAGTGGAGGAACACATTTAAAAAGTATTCGCCGGTGAATAATCTTAGTAAGATGATCATTGGGTGAACGCGGAAATTATTTGACAACTGATCTTCTATGGATGATGTAAACTCCACCTCAATACTACTAACTATTGACTAAATTTAAATGACGATTTCAGGAGATCTAATGAGGAATTGTTACTAGTGAAGTAAATTAGTGTCAGGTGTGAAACATAGTTATCGATAGGAGTTACTGTTAGGATATTCATCCAAAATCCTAAGAGAATTATTGGTCGATTCCTATTGGTTAATTTCTACTGGTCAATTTTATGATCGTCCTAGATATCAATGTCACGTGCTCCAATGTTATTTCTAATTGGTTTTCCTGACTATAAATGTCACTTCAAATGTTCTTTCTTATTGGTCGTCTTAACTGCCAATGCCACAGGATTCGATGCTGTTTCCTATTCAACCTAAATGTATAAATACGCATAACCTGCAACGTTTTATTACCAGGACCCGGTCCCGGATCCCTAGTGCAGGATCTCGATTCTCTTCTGGATTCGGACCTCGTACTTCTCGATGCTTGTACAATACAACTTCTACTTTATATCACGTCTTCTTATTTTTGCTAAATATGGGGGTTGGGATAATTGGATTTGAGTAGCATGTCGTGTCGCCGGATCCTCGATCCTCGCTCTCGTTTTTCCGACTAGGTAAACTGGTAATAGTTCAAGTATATCAAGTTGACGTGTTTAAGTGCAGGCGTAACAGTTACACATACGTACACCGTTAAATGCCGAGTCAATTGTTAGGAAAGAGATTGACTTCAGAGACGTATAGGTCCAGCGATCGTTTTCCACAAGAGTTTTGTCTATTTGATGTAGTTAAAAGTGTGACTGGTTGAGGCGTCAAGTCAAGCCAACTAAAACAAAGTAGAACTTCAGCCATACATACAGCCATAAGTTGACATTAGCTAAGAAAGATCGAATTGTAGATTCAAAATATAGAACTTTGTACGTACAACCATCAGTTCAAGTTGTTATACCACATTAACACAGAGAGATGCAATTGTCAATTCAAATCCCACAGCAGTAAAATTTTTAGCAGTAATCGGAAATTTGAGGCTTGAACGATATGATTCAAGAAGTAGAATCAAGTGAAAAAAAAACAGAACACAAAGAATGAATGCACCTGTGCCATCGCAAAGTGGTTCTGAGCCGTATCATTCAAGGTCTCTTCTAGCCATCATCAGTAGTAAACAGGAAAGATTAAGAACCCGAAGACAGGATTCGATAAGTATAATTCAGTAAAAAAAATACATGTAAAAAGATGATGATAAAGGTGAAGTGAAGGAGAACACAGGTGAGGACAACCACCAAATTGTATTTAACGAAAATTACAGAGTTACTCAGTAAAATAGGAAAACCATATCGTAAACGGTGAAATTTGCACATCTTCAATCCATTGTCTGACATTTCACTTATTCATGCGTTTCATACACAAATTCCATTGTGTTCCCCCCACTCTTCCTTTCTTGTTGATCTTCCCCGATCTTCTGCTGCCAGACATTACGTTGACACTCGCATCATATACTACTTATAAGTAGCGCGCACTACAAAGGGGTCAAGAGGAATCTCGAAAAATTTAGGATTCGAGCGAGAACACAGATTCACCAGAGCCATTACTATTCAAAGTCTCTATCCCGTCCCCCACCCCTCGCCCCCAATCATGATTGTCTCGCATACACCTCCTCTATTACCAGGTAGTTTCAAACTCTAATAAAACACAACTAACTATCTCTTGATTAACAAATACTAAACCTGTTCAAAGATCAAGTTTGTGCATTTACAGCAGCACTATGTAAAAATGTTACAATCAATCATCACATTATTTAACTAACTCATCTTATGTAACATGATAACTGTTGATAAATATCATTGAATGTGCATAAGTTTTACTTAAACTTTGTACTTACTTACTCACAAAACTAAATTTAGATATATATGCATAGTAGAATTTGAGTCATTGCATCACATCATACATAGATTGACGTATTTAAAATTCTATATAATATGTGATCACGTCGTATTGTAGTAATGTAAAAATACTCAGTGTCATGTGAGTGTATTTTAAGTCAATACTCATCAGCATCAGCATCATCATCAGAATAATTAATAGAAATGAAAAATCAACTTGCTTTGTCATTGTGTGATGATAACAGAATTGTGAAAAATAATTTGAGACATATGGTTGTTGTATAAGACTAATCATTATTAATTACTAAATGACTGATTATATGATAGTGCCAAAAAGTTGAGACAATAATCTTCTCTATATATATGTGCTTAGTTATTGAGTTATTTAAGTGACAAAGTCTAAAATGCTGTGATTGTACAAGTGTGAATTGCTCCTTCACCTTCTGCTCATCATCATCAGCATCATCGGTGAAAATCAGCCAAATCGAAATGTCGAACCCATATATATGTATATGCATTACGGGGTTGTGAAGATTGTTAAGTTACACATTGTTTGAAACCATGAATTGATCAATGTTAGACCAACACCATTAGAAGAAACCTGAAAGCACTGACAGACGGCTGTTTCGCCCTGGTATGGGACTTATCAGTGGCAGTACGCATCCACGACTGCTGCACCCCACAGGATTCGAACCCAAGACCTTCGGTATGGTGCGCGAACGCCTAACCATCGGACCACTGAACTGGCCGGCATCTAATGGCATTGTTAATGTCTAACTCCGATCAATTCACGGAGTTGCGCACAACCTCATACACAGTCTTCGGTAGTAGATACTGTCTACACCCGAACAGGGTTGAACTTCACAGTGGTCTCACGTCTACCCACTAGAACTCAGAGAAGATTCTCCTCACGAAGCTAGTCACTACTAGTGAGCACAGGTAATTTCGCTTTACGGGGTTGTTGTGAAGATTAAGAAGTTACACATTTTTTTTGAAACCATGAATCGAATCCTGCGAGGAGCAGGAGTCGTGGATGCGCACTGCCACTGCTGAGGAGTCCCATACCAGGACGAAACGGCCGTCTGTCAGTGCTTCCAGGTTTCGTCTAATGGTGGTCTAACATTGGTTTCAAATACATATATATGACTTGTTCTAGCTTTGGACAAACTAATTCATCCAACCTTCTCCAGGACTTAGCACATATCGCTTGACTTTGTCATTTTATTCGCCTATACCGTTGATTGTTTTCACTTGATTGATTGAGTGAGTAACTGAGTGTATTGCTTTACTTCGCCTATCACATGCCTTAGTTTATTCTTGTCTGATGGCCTCATCGTATTGAGTGGTTGACCCATTTGCCTCCGTCTGGTGTCATTGATCACAGTAGATTAAAAATCAAGGTACAAATTGATAATGTCACGCAAGCTGTACTGGTAATAGTAGTAGTAATAGTCGTAGTAGTAGGTCAAATAGTTTGGAAAAAACTTCAACCCTGCAATGATTACATTCTGTTTTGTGTTTGGCCCACAATGATAAAATGTACATAGTGTTTTTTTTTCTGAGCTTGAACACACTGTGCCTTCCTTCTATCTGGCCGAACAAACGCCTACTCTCATAGATGTGTGATGTTTCTTTGCGGTCGTAGTAGTAGTCGTAGTAATAATAGTAGTTGAAATTGAAACATGCACATAGTCAAACCCAATGCAATGACAAATTGTTGGTCTAATGGCAGGTTATTATATATACATATATATACAATATAGGTAAATGGATCACATAGTTGAAGTTAACGTGATTATCTGAAACATTAGTTGTGTAGTAGACATTTGAAGTCAAATGTGGTCTGAAATCAATTACATTCCTTCATATATGAGTTTATTTTTTAAAAAAACTTCTATTTTTAACAATAAATTTTCTTAGTTAGTTAGTTAGTTAGTTAGTGAGTCTTTTGTGATTATCGTTTCTGTTACAAACGCCTTCGTTATTGATTTTGATGTGGTATGGTGTAGCAGCATGTTAGGCTTTACGTTGTTGCGTGCATACATCTCAGTGTACTTCCAGATAAGCGGTGGACTGTACTTACTTACTTACACCTGTTACCCCCAATGGAGTATGGGCCGCCCACCAGTATTCTCAAAAAACAACTCTGTCCTGGGCTTCTCTTTACAATTCTGTCCAATTTTTGTTCATTCTTCTCACATCTTTCTCTATTTCTCGGCGTAATGTGTTTGTTGGCCTTCCTCTCTTCCTTTTGCCTTGAGGGTTCCAAGTGAGGGCTTGTCTCGTGACGCAGTTAGGTGCTTTTCGTAGTGTGTGTCCTATCCACTTCCACCGATTCTTCCTAATTTCCTCCTCCACTGGAATCTGGTTTGTTCTCTCCCACAGTACGTTGTTGCTGATTGTGTCTGGCCAACGAATCCGAAGTATTTTGCGTAGACAACTGTTAATAAATACTTGTATCTTCTAGATGATGGGTTTGGTAGTTCTCCAAGTTTCCACTCTATACAGTAGAACTGGCTTGACATTTGTATTGAAAATCCTGATTTTGGTTTTAGTTGAAATTTGTTTGGAGTTCCAGATATTTTTCAACTGTAGAAATGCAACCCTTGGTTTGCCGATCAAACGGCGTACTGTGTATACATATACATACATTCAAATGCAATGTAGAAACAAGCATATGTGTGTACATCAGTTAAAATTCTTCTATGCCATTGACAGAAACAAAATGAAGCTCTCAAGGTACATTTCACAGTAGTACAGGTAGTAAACATATGCTAAGTATTGTAGTTCACAAATGTGCTCACCTGATGATTCTTAAACATACGAGCAATTTATTTGTAGATACCTATAAATATCATTCAGTTTGGAAAACAAGATGTGACACTCATAAATTAAGACTCATCGACTATGCCATAAGTGATCTCAGAGTTGACAATTAGTCGTCAATTGAGACCTTGTCTATTTGAATCGAGTTTCTGTCACAAATCAACATCCACCAGGACTAGATGAGACTTCAACTATTTCATTATTGATCATACTAGTTCAAGTAGTTCACATAAACTAGTTAATTGTTACTTAAAGAGCTGAGAAGATTGCCTTTTTTTCCAAACGTCCTCAGCAGACTGGGTTTCTTCGTCAGCTAGTGATAGGTAGTGAAGTAGTCGAACGTGTAGACCGCTTCACTTATCTCAGGAGTCTCATCAGTGCTGATGGCCACTCCTAGCTTTCTTCCAACCTACTCCTACACTACAAAACATAGCTCGTCGAGGCAGTCGGTGGTTAGGCATTCGTAACACATGTCCTAACCACCTCAACTGATGAAGTTTCATTACTTCATCTATTGATCTGCCATTCTTACCTAGCACCCGTTTCTTAACAACAGCATTGCTCACCCGAGTGTCCCAGGTTATACGAGCACAGTGCTTCGAAGACACCTATGATCGAAAACTAATAACCGACGAGTATCTTCTACTCTCACTGACCATGTTTCATAGCCATAAAGTACTACTGCGCAGTACACTCGTCCTTTAGTTAGCAGCAAACGGATATCTCGCCTACGCCATAAATGACGCAGCTTGACAATCGAGCCTTCCGTGTATCCGAGCATGAGATTTCGTCAGTAGTCACTAGCACTCATCAGCACTGATGAGACTTCCAAAGATAAGTGATGATACAAAAAAAAACACTTGACACACACACACACAAAATAAAAATTATACTTACTGTATAAATTTCAATGAATTATAATATTCCAAATCGACTGTTTCAATATCTGCCAAATTGATATTTTTATTTAACATACGTTTATAAAATGGCAATGTGAAACCATTATCAATAAATCTTGCATGATATAATGCTAAAGCGATAAATCGTCCGACAAATCTATTTATTGCATTTTTAGTAGAGAGAGAGAGAGATGGAAACAAAAAAAGGAGAATTAAAAATTAAAAAACAACAACACTGATAATTAATTATTAGTTACAGTCACAAACTGTTAGGATATTCACCAAATATCCTAAGAGTACTACTATTTTTGAAAGTATAATCCTATTGGTCAAAATAAATGGTCGTTTTAACTGTCAAGGTCAAATATTTCAATGTTGTCTCTGATTGGTCATCCGGACTGTCAATCTCATTTCAAATGTTCTTTCCTATTGGTCGTCGTCCTAAAACTGTCAATGTCACAGACTTTGATGCTGTTTCCTATTCGACCTAAATGTATAAATACGCACTATCTGTAAGACTTCATGATTACGATTCCGATTCCGTTTCTTCCTGCCTACCTCTCTTCTGTTCTCAACCCAATAAATAACTCCATCCAACCGTGTTGCGTTCTGATATATAGGGGATTTGGGTCGGACGTCGGTAGGATTTGAATAGCTACGTAGCAGCATTATAACACATTCACAGAAAGAAAACCCATGGACGTATAACAGACTGTTAAGAACAATAAGCCAAAAATGGATATAGTCAGTCAGTCTGTTAGTCGGTTACAACACAGAACTCCGAACGTGTATATATGTTGGGGATGTTAGATCCGCAAAACTCGCTTGATAAATGCCTTAGCTTTGGATTTCACGTTCGCCAGCATGGGCTGATCAGTTGGCCTTTAGATTTCATTTCCCACCAGGAAGATCCATGGCTGTGATTGGCTGCTGTGTATTTTAGTGTGCTATTTTTTGACTGTCTCAAGGACGTTTCTATGTTGTATAAATAAACGAGGGTCGTATGCTTGATTGTACTGTGATTGCTGGGTGTTTGTAGAATATACTTTCTACGCTTACAAAGCCTTTTTTACTTCAGCTTGGGATTCAAGGTAGCCTACCTGGACGCTGGTCATTGTCTCGTTCGTGTTTATCGACTAAGGTAAACTCGTAATAGCCTCAAACATACTTAGTGACGAACGTAATAATATACACATCAGTGTTCAAGTTGTCATAGCACACACAACATTAGCACATAGAGATGCAACTGTCAATTTAAATGCCGTAGGAGTAGAGATAGTGGAAGTATTAGCGGTTATGGAGAAGATTGGTGTTCGAAGATATTACTCAAGAAGTATAAATCAGTAAAAATCAACTTTAAAAGAGTAAGAGATAAAGGTGATGAGAAATTCAGAAGATTAGAATTTGAGAGAGCACAAAGAATAAATGCACCAGTTCTGAACCTTGTCGTTCAAGGTCTCTAACGATCGGTTAAGATTGTCTAGTAGAAGCCAACCACGTAGTCTACATCTACCAACATAACTCAATGGATTTGAGCCATGTTTTGGTTTAGCTGCCCCTTGAATTTCTTCCAACCTATTCCTCTACACCACAAAACATAGCTCGACGAGGCAGTCAGTAGTGGGGCATACGTAACACATATCCCAACCACCCCAACTGATGAAGTTTCATTACTTCATCTATTGATTTGCTATCCCTACCTAGTACTTGTTTCCTAACTATAGCATTGCTTACTCGGGCAATGCTTCTTAAACATCTATCATGGATTACTAGTAACCTACGAACATCTTCTACTCTTAACGGCCATGTTTCACAGCCATATAGTAGGACGGAGCGAACTGCTGCGCAGTACACCCGTCCTTTTGTTAGCGAACGGATATGTCGCCTACACCATAAATGGCGTAAGCGATTTTCCTGGTAGAAGGTCAACTACTAAAAAATCTGACGAACTTAGTGTTAACTCTAAGAGGATGTCTACGACAAAGTTAAACAAGAATGGAGAGAGTGAACCGCCCTGACGGACACCACTTGATGTAGAGAATTCAGATGACTGTTCGCTAGAGGCTCTCACCCGACCAATGGTGTTCGAGTAGAGTACTTGTACTTCTCTAGTACATCTTTCAATGACACACACTGCCACAGAACCTCACGATCCACTGAGTCAAATGCCGATTTGGCAAGTATTACTAATAGTTCATATACAAATATGGTCAACAAGGTGATCGATTTCATTGATACTGGTAGGTGGTTTTATTGCAACATTCCAAAGGGTTATTGTTTCAATGGGGTGCTGTATTGCAAACCCCCATTGCTAATAATAATGAATTGAAACAGTCAAGTAAGCTCGATGTGTCAAAATTGGCCTGTTCATTCGGTGCATATTGATTAACGCGATCATGAATAGGAAATAATCACTACTATATGTATTAGTGTATATATAAATGGTGTGAATGGTCCACCAGGAGGTGTCAGGTACTTGTGTAGTTTTGCGCCATAGCATTGAACTGTACTGTTGTTCACATTATAGTGTTAACACATGGATAGTTTCATTTTATTCTCCTGAAAAAAACCATTGTAAAATTATCCTTGCCAATTGACGGTGAATTTGTATAATTGCGAAAATAATCCAATAAGTGAACTTTAACACGCATATCATTCGTGCTATTTGAGAACTAACTACACATGAGAATCAATACTCTTATTGCAACAAACAAACAAACAAACTCAAAGTCACCTTTTTTTTTTTAAATTTTAAACACTTCAACTATCGAGTCCAAATAGTCATCAAGTATATGCAGATGTAATTATGTTTTCATATCATTTGTTATTATAGTTGGGGACGACCTTAGATCCATAGAACTCATTGGATAACAAAGGTCCTAATTTTGGATTTTATGCTTTTGCACATAGGCTACTAATCAACTGACCTTGAGATTACAGTCAGTTAGTCAGATGCAATGTAAAACTTTGTACGTAAGTGCGTACATCAGCACACACCGATGTAATTGTCAAATGAAATCCAATAGTAGAAGAGGTAATGAAGATATTAGAAGTAATCGGAGAGGTTACGATTAGAAGATATTATTCAAAAAGTATGATTCAGTGAGAAAAGTTTAGAAAGTCAAAACTAGAGGTGTTGAACAGTCCAGAAGATTAGGATTTGAGAGAACACAAAGAGTCGATGCACTTGCACCATTGAAAACGATTTTGAGTCATATCATTCAGGGTCTCTAACCATCGATTACATATCCCACTCGCAAAATCCTTGACTGTTATTGGTTGGTGTATTATGCTAAGTACGCTATTTTTGTGGCTCTCCCAAGGACGTTTCTATCATTGTATAAATAAGCTTGATGCGTGTGCTTAGGAAACTCGAAATTTCTGAGTGCTTGTTGAATACACCTTTCTACGCCTTATTATCAAGACTACATGATACAGTTAGCAGGACCGTGGGATGCTCGTATTAGAGTGGCCTATCATGTCACTGGATCATTTGTCTTTCGCTCTCCGTTTACTACACAGAGTAAGGTGAACTCGTAATCACATTCAAGTATATCAACTAGTGAGTGACGAGTGATCACAATTATGAATCTCAACCAGTACAACAATAACACAAAAAACTCCTTACCGAAAATATTCCAAATGTTCCGGATTCACTGATGATGCTGGATTAATTTGTAATGCATAATTAGTACCACTAGCATATTCAAATAAGCAATACATTGGATTGAGTAATTCAGTAGAAAGTTTAAAAAACCATTCTCTAAAAAAAAATTACGAGGAAAAACAAACAAGGAATAGGGAGAAAAGATAAAATACAAGATGATTGGGAAAAAACGCTCATCATACACTATATCAACAAATAATGTAGATTAGAAATTTATCAATCGATAAGTACACATGATTGGTGAAGAAATGGTGTGTATATCTTCATTAGGTTTAATCAATAGACTTGCATATGTGAATGCGCCTTCTGTTGTTACCTCAGCGCGGATACAGGAAGCTCGGTTGGCTCGATTGCCAACCTGTGTCATTTATAGCGTAGGCGTGATATCCGTTTGTTGACTAAAGGATGGGTGTACTGCGCAACAGTTCACTCTGTTCTCCTATACGGATGCAAAACATGGCCGTTAAGAGTAGATGTTCGTAGATTACTTGTTTTCGATTGTAGATGTCTTCGAAGCACTGCTTGTATATCGTGGGACAACCGAGGAAACGGGTGCTAGGTAAGGATGGCAGATCAATAGATGAAGTGTTGAAACTTCATCAGTTGAGGTGATTGGGACATGTGCTGCATATGCCTAACCACCGACTGCCCCGACGAGCTTTGTTTTGGAGTGTAGGAATAGGTTGGAAGAAAGATAGGGGCGGCCAAACCAAAACATGGCAGAAATCCATGAAGTCATTGACGAGTGGACTTAGTCATGTCGGTAGTTGTCGACTACTTGGTTGGGATCCGCGAGATGATAACAATTGATGGTTAGAGACCTTGAATGACATGGCTCAAAATCGTTTGCAATGGCGCCGGTGCATTCATTCTTTGTATTGTCTCAAATCCTAATCTTCTCGATTCTTCAACCCTTCTAGTTTTGACTTTCTAAACTTTTCTCACTGAATTATACTTCTCGAATAATATCTTCAAAACCCTAGTCTTCTTCATTACCATTAATACCTCTACTATCTCTATCACTATGGGATTTGATTTGACATTCGCGTCTGTGTGCTAATGCGGTATGGCAACATGAACTTATGCACATACGTACGAAGTTCTACGTTGCAACTGACTGACTGACCTCTGTTAATATGGAATTCAAATTGACAATGCGATCGCTGTGTGCTATTATGGGTATGGTAACCTGAACTGACGTACGTACGTAAGTAGGTACGTACGAAGTTCTACATTGTAGTGATTCGGTGGAACTCACTGAATAATGAGCATATGGTAAATTTGACGGTGATAGCCTGTCTCTCTACTTGATTCAACAGTATTCTATAACTGGACTACTTTTGTTCTCATTGGAATACTCAATAGAGCTCGTGTAGTATATGAAGGAATACATATCAGCTACCGGGCAATAACACGTCGTAAATAAATATAACTAAATGTATAGTGTAAGTGAGTCAAAGATATATTTGACGGTATGTTCTATCATGTGAATACGTAGTTCACATAATCATAATAATAATAAACATGGATTTTTCGGGGCAGAGTTTTAGAGGTTTGCGTTTTTACACATTTGAAATCATCAATCAATCATTGTTAGACCACCATTAGAAGAAACCTGGAAGAACCGGACGGCCGTTTCGTCCTAGATCAATCAGAGTTAGACATTAACACCGTTGGATGCCGTCCCAGGGGTCCGATGGTAAGGCGTTTGCCTACAATGCCGAAGGTCCCGGGTTCGAATCCTGCGAGGAGCAGGAGTCATGGATGCGCACTGCCACTGATGAGACCCATACCAGGATGAAACGGCCATCCAGTGCTTCCAGGTTTCTTCTAATGGTGGTCGAACAACAATGATTGATTGATGATTTCAAATGTGTAAAAACATGGATTTGTAAATAAATATTTTCAAGTTATTACTATTCGATCATAGATATTAGTTTGTAAACACTGATTGTATATTTTCATAGTGTCAAGTAAGCGATTCTCAGATTTGACAAAAAGTATTAGGCTAAAATCTGAAAATTAGTTAGTTGATCAAGTTGTAAATATTTATCGACTGTGAGATGGTTGGGAAACCAATCAACGATTGCCTTGACGAGTAATGTTGTCTGTGATGTAGCAGTGAGTAGGTTGGAAGAAAGCTAGGGGCGGCGAAACCAAAACATGGTACTAATCTATGAGGTCACTGACAACAGCGGGACTGGATCATGTTTAGTAGGTGTAGACTAATTGGTTATAGAGACAGCAACGGATGGTTGGACGCCTTGAATAACATGGCTTCAAATCGTATGAAAAACGTGCAGATGTATCAGCCACTCTTTGGCTTCTCTCGAATTCTAATCTTCTGAATTCTTCATCAACTTCATCTTTCTCTTTTTAAATTATATTTCACTGGGATATACTACTCGAATTATATCTTCAATCATGAATCTTTTTGATTACCGAAAATACTGCTACTACCTCTAACCACTGTATGATTTGAACAGACGATTGCATTGCTCTCAGGTAGAGAATTCCAATGACAAGTGGACTGAGTCATGTTGGTAGATCTAGACTACCTGGTTGGGGTCCGCGAGACGAAAGTCACCAATGGTTAGACACCTTGAACAACATGGCTCAAAATCGTTTACAATGGTGCAGGTGCATCCACTCTATGTGTTCTCTCAAATCATAATCTTCTAGATTCGTCAACACCTCTACATTTGTCTTTCTAAACTTATTTCACTGAATTCTACTTCTTGAACAGTATCTTCGAACCCTAATCTCTCCGATTACTGCAAATACTTGCACTACCTCAACTACTACGAGGTTTGAAATGACAGTTGCGTCTTTGTGTGCTAATGTGGTATGGCAGTCTGAAGTTCTACGTTGTAACTGACTGATTGCTCCCAGGTACTTGAGTACGATGACGCCTGTTGCCCTATTAGACATAATGTACGTACATTAAATGCTCCAACATGTAGTTTAGAACGGGGTTTAAGGAGACCGGGAACGACGTCTCGCGAACTCACATCGTTTGCATTAGCTGTGCACTGTGATAAATGAATGTGAGAAGAGTTAGTCGTGGAGATAAGAGAGGTATTAGGGGGTGTTGGAAAGATTTGATTTTGACAAATTTGGTCTCGCGTGCTGTCACGGGTATGAGAGCGGTTGTCACTTCCCGGCTGCCCACACCATGGAAGGTTGTTTCTTGAGGGACCTGAAAAGGAAGATAGATTAGTGTTGGTGCGTGACCGCAGAGCCCAAGGGACAACTGCTTGAGGCCGGTCACGCACGGCCTTTTTATGAAAGGTATTTAGAGGATTAGCTCCGTTCTTATAGGCCCTTAGTGGGCACCCTTACCCAAGGAGACGGAAATCCGTGAGGTAGGGGAGGTGTGACATTTTTAGGGCCGACCTTTACTAACCCTTCCTTCCTTGTGAGAAGGCAGCATCGCTGCAGATGCTGGTTGTCCGAGGGAAACACCTTATTGCTGTCACACCCCTCTGCAGTCAACAGTACGACTTCGCCCTCAGACCTTGGGTAGCTGCTTTTAGTCTCATCGTTCTTCAATCGACCAGCCTGGCATGGTAGGACCTGCAGCAACATATGTTCCAGCCAGTATAGCTCGGTTGGGTCATCAGGATAGGCAAGCCAGACCACCGCATTAAGGTAGCAGCTTCGGTCGAAAATGCAGATGTAAGCACACACAAACTATCAAAGTAATAACGGAAGCTGTTCTACAATTGAAGAATATCAGCAACTGTCTGTCCAACCAACACCAAAGTCACAATTTTCAATATAAACACGTCAACACAATCCTATTATATGGAGCAGACATTTCGAGTACTACCAAAGCCATCATTCAAAAGATACAAGTGTTTATAAACAAGTGTCTATAAAAGATACTTCGGATCCGACGGCCAAACACCATCAGTAACAGCCTACTGCTGTGCGAGAGAAAAAATCAGACTGCAGTAGAGGAAGTTAGGGAAGATTGCTGGAAGTTGATAGGACACATTGAAGAAACTACTCAACTGCGTCATCAGGCAAGCTGTAACTTGGAATTTCTTAAAGGCAAAAGAAAAGACCCACACCAAGGAACGAACACATCACACCGAGAATCGGAGACAGACATGGAAAGAATGAATAACAAGTGCAGATGACTGGAAAGCAGAACCCAAGAGAGTTGGCTGGTGATGAATGATAAGTGGGTCTATGCTCCATGAGTGGTAACAGGCATAAACTATTAAGCACAACATGTCTAGAATGCAGCAAGTACCACTCACATTATATCTGATGAAAAAACTCAAGAAGTGGTGGAAGTCTTCACATACTTGGGAATAGCACCACTGATAAACAAGGAAGATCTAACACACAGGCGAGAGCACCAATCAACCAAGCAATGAAAGCATTTTTACTACATAGAAAAATATATAGAACTCAAGACGAAAGTCAACATTGTCCACACCGAAATTAAAATTTCTCTATTGAACGGAACCGGAAGTTAGAGACAGCGATAACATCAGAAAAGTACAAGTAATCAGTAAAAATTATCCTCAAGGCGACAATAAAAACAGTCAAACAAAAGAACACATAACGCTGGTTATCAGAAACAGATTACATTAAAAGAACGAACAGCGTTTAGCGACAAAACTTGGGAAAAGAGCTCGGGACAGAGTTGGTTAGATATTCTAAATCCCCACCTTCAAAGAGAGGTAACCTTATTATTATTTATTCAAATTAACCCTCTATTGTCAAGGACAATTTTACAGTGGTTTTCAGAAGAACCAAGGAGACTGCCCACATGTTGACACTTCAACGTGAACAGTTCGATTCAATACTGTGGCGCGACCAGCACAATAGTACCCTGGTGGACCATTCACACGATTCATATACAATAATATGTAGAGTAGTGATCAGTTCCGATTCATGATCGCGTCAATCAATCTGCACAGTATGAACAGGTCAATTTGACCCATTCCACTTACACAACTGTCAAACTCATTATTATTAGCAATGGTGACATGCAGCAATACACACCCCTATGACAATGGCCCTTGTGAATTTTGCAAAACAACCAGTATCAGTATCAATGAAACCGGTCACTCTGATAACCAAATAGGTATATGGACGACTAACGAAACTTGCCAAAGCAATGCCAAACCATCCACAATCTGAATCACAATGAACCTCCAGCCTCATAGGAAACCTTCAGCTCTCAACATAGCAGTATAGCATATGGTATACACATAGTATGGCATAGAATAGCAAGAGATGCAGCCCAGCTTGATGCAAATGGGATCCTTTATCTCATGTCATATGATGAATTTTTCTCAATAGCGAAATTTTCAATTTCGCGACCATATGAGAGACCTGACTATGGGAGAGAACAAACCAGATTCAAGTGGAGGAGGAAATCAGGAAGAAGCGCTGGAGTGTGTGGATAGGACACACACACAGTACGAAAAGCACCTAACTGCATCACGAGACAAGCCCTCATACTTGGAACCCTCAAGGCATAAGGAAAAGAGGAAGGCCAACAAACACATTACGCCGAGAAATAGAGAAAAACATGAGAAGAATGGACAAAAATTGCACAGGACTGGGAAGCGAAGCCCAGAACAGAGTTGGTTGTAGGGGACTGATGGGCGGCCTATGCTCCATTTGGGGGTAATAGGCATATGTTACAGATCTGTCAACAGTATCTGCCGATGCTCAGTTCACAGACCCACAACCTGCTACCAGTTTTTATGAGATACCGGCTGAAGGGGGAAGAGCATATCCTTGTGCAAGACCAGGCATTGAGGACAGTGCCTCCTGAGGAGAGAGGGTGGTGTAACAGAGTCAAAGTCACCATGTATGATGTTACTAACCCGTCTTGTTTTCTTTCTATTTCAGGGCGATCAAACGTTAACACTTTGGAAGCTGAAGAACAAACCCTGAGTAGTCTGAACATACAGGATGACTCTTAAGACTTTGGTACCATAGCGACCCTTTTCTGTAAGATTCCGCGTAGTTCAATTTTTAAAAATAAACGAGTATCGTGGCAACCACTTCGTGTTCTCTCTTGGTGTGAGATGTTAAACTAACCTTTTGTGTGTTGTGATTTTAGATCCTATCCGCCCTTCAGTGACTGCTGATTACACGTGTTACACGTAAGTAAGTAAGTAAGTATGAGAGACCTAAGTTTAGGGGAGGAGGTATTAACCTTAAAGAGTAAAGTAATTTATTAAAACAACAACGCCTACTCGAATCACGGTGAAAAACAGTCAGTCAGTCAGTCAGATGCAACGTAGAACTTGGTACGTAAGTACATCAGTTCATGTTGCCATACCACACATCAGCACAGAGATATAATTATCAATTCAAATCCAATAGTAGTAGAAGAGGTAGTAAAGGTAGTAGAAGTAATCGGAGAGATTAGGATGAGAAGATATTATTCAAGAAGTATGATTCAGTGAGAAAAGTTTACAGAGTCGAAACTGGAGGGGTTGAAGAATTCAGAAGATTAGGATTTAAGAGAGAACACAAAGAATAAATGCACCGGCGCCATTGCGAACGATTTTGAGCCATGTCATTCACGATATCTATCTAACCATCGATTATTATCATCTCGCGGACCCCAACCAGGTAATCGACAATTGGGTGAAAACAAGCAAGAGATGCGACCCAGCTTGATGCAAATGGAACCCTTTGTCTCATGTCATATGACGAATTTTTCTCAATAGCGAAATTTTCAATTTCCCGACCTGTTTGGGATGTTAGATCCCCAAAACTGGCTTGTTAAATGCCTTATTTTGGATTTCACGTTTGCCAGCATGGACTGATCAGATGACCTTGAGATTTCACTTCCCACCAAGAAAATCCATGGCTGTGTGATTGACTGCTGTGTATTTTAGTGTGCTATTTTTTGTGACTGTCCCACTAGGACGTTTCTATGATGTATAAATAAACGAGAGTTGTATGCTTGATGGTACGGTGATTGCTGGGTGTTTGTAGAATATACTTTGTACGCTTACAAAGCCTTCTGTCTTCAGGTTGGGATTCAAGGCAGCCTACCTGGACGCTGGTAATTGTCTCGTTTGCGTTTATTCGACTAAGCTGAACCCGTAATAGCCTCAAGCATACTAAGTGACGAACTCAATACGACCACCATATGAGAGACCTAAGTTAGGAGGGTAGTAAATTAAAACAACGCCTTTATGAATCACAGCGAAACACAAAAACAAAACATCATTTCAATGGAAACAATTTAAACAAACAAACAAACCAACCTTGATAACCCTCCATAATCTAAACCTTCTTCACCAGTAAATGAAATAAACAAACGACAACGTAATTCATGTGGTTTTAATCGCATAATTTGTTCAAATGAATCCACTAGTAGATTACCACGGGATACAACAATTTTCACATTTTTTGTCACCAAATTTGAATGACATAGATAACGAAAACTTGAAACTTTATTTTCAAATGACCATGCTTGTTCAATATTACCACTGTTCATCAAAGGTTCAACGAATATAAGACGAAGAAATAGCAAAGAATTTAACAAAAAAATATGACTGATAAATGTTAATGAAATTACAATTATAATCTCTATTTAAAAATGGTAACCATGAAATACTGTTTCGTCCTAGGTAGGGATTCTTCAGCAGTGCATATCTACCTCTCCATTCATCATCTGTAAATGAACCCACTATGAGATTTGAACTGATAATTGTGCCGCTGTGTTAATGTGGTATGGTAACCTGAACTTATGTACGAAGTTCTATGTTGTAAGACGGAGAGATATTACGGGGTGTAGGAAGGATTTGTTTGTAACCAATTTGGTTTCGCGGGCTGTTACGGGTATATGAGAGCGGTTGTCACTTGGTGTCGGTCTTAGAGATCTGGGAGCGTAACCGCAGAGTCCAAGGGATAACTGCTTGAGGCCGGACACACACGGCCTTTTGATGAAAGGTTTTGAGAGTATTAGCTCCGCTCTTTTTAAAAGCACTTATTGGGCAGCCCTTACCGCCGGAGAAGGAAATCCGTGAGGTAAGGATAAGGTGTGACATTTTTAGGGTCGACTTCTTCTAACCCTTTCTTCATTGTGAGAAGGCAGCATTGCTGCAGATACTAGTTGTCCCGGAGAAACACCTTACTTCTGTCACACCCTTTTACAGTCAGCAGTCAGCAGTACGACTTCGCCCTCAGACCTTGAATTGCTGCTTTTAGTCTCATTGTTCTCCAATCGATTTGTGTTTAATTTTATTCAGCAACTATCAGCTTAATCTATCTATCCAATATCCTAAGAGAATTATTGGTTAATTCCTACTGGTCAATTTTATGGTCGTCCTAGATTTTAATGTCACGTACTACAAAGTTGTTTTTTATTGGTTGGCCTGACTATCAATGTGACTTCAAATGGCTACTTCCTATTGGTCGTTTTAACTGTCAATGTCACACTTCTATGTTGTTTCCTATTCGACCTAAATGTATAAATACGCATAACCTATAACGTTTTATGACCAGGACCCGGACCTGGATCTCTAGTCCGGGATCCTGATTCTCTTCTGGATTCGGACCTCGTACTTTCTGGATGCTTGTAGAACACAGGTTCTACTTCATATCAAGTCTTCTTATTTTTACTCAATATAGCGGTTGGGATAATTGGATTAGATTAGCCTGTCGTGCCACCGGATCCTCAATTCTCGCTCTGGTTTTTCCGACTAGGTACACTCGTAATAGTTCAAGCATATCAAAATGACGTGTTTACGTGCAGGCGTAACACAAAGGCCGAGTCTAGATGATATGAATTATTTATTCTGATTAGTATCTTTTCAACGAGTTGGTTTTCTACGGGATACGGTCACTAATACCCATGCCCAATCCCCCTCCTCATTTAACCGGGGCTTAGGAACACTGCAGTAGCCAGCCACAAAAGGGCTCCAGGAGGAGTTTTTTTCATTACAACATCAAATCTCCTCGAACACAGTAGTTATAAACGTCTGAAAAATGTCGGTCTGATAGCTTAGAATTTAAAAAAATCGAATATTATTGTTAGTAGTAACAAAAAAACAAGAAAGCAAATTAACCTGGCATCTTTTCGTCTTGGATCATTGAATGTCGACGTTTTAGTATTATGATCAACAAAAAATGGAAATCCTTCAGTTGTATAACGAATTTCCCAACCAGCCGGTAATGGATGTCCTTGTATACGAGGATCTTCCCATTGTGAGATACGACTGACATGATTTACAAAATATGACCGACCAGACATATCAACACGTCGTTCTAAACAAAACAAAAGTTGACAATATGTCAGATTTAAAAAAAAGAGAACAACACATAATTGTACAGTGGCGTCGTGATTAGTAGTGGGATATAGAATGGTCATTTTGTCTAACATGGAAGTGATCAGTTTTAGCTAGCTGGATTTGCCTACATCTATCTCAGTGTTGTTAATAAGCACACTGGAACTAGAACCTGGTGCTTTTCGGCAGTTTTGATGTTCAAGTTCTCTCAGTTAAATGCTTTGATTGTAGAGCTTTCATTGTCATTTTAGGCGATATCATTAGTGTTTCTACGCATTAAATTCATCATTGATAGACTGCCATTAGAAACTTGGAAGCACTGGATGGCCGATTCGTCCTGATATGCGACTACTCGTCAGAAGTACGCATCCACGACTCCTGCTACTCTCAGGATTCGAACCCAGAACCTTCTATCTTGCGCGTGAACGCCTAATATCTGGACCATTGAGCCGTCATCCAACGGTGTTATCGTCTAACTCTAAACAATCTAAGGATTTCGTGCGACTTCACCTATTTATCTTCGATAGTTACTGCCTACAGCCGACTGGGTTGAACTATATTGGTCACGTTTTGTCGTTAGAACTCTGAGAAGTTCCTCACGAAGCCAGTAACCATTGAGCACATATTACGATATTTTCAACTAGAGTTACTGATATTAGTGTTTTTACACATTTGAAATCATCTATCAAATATTGATTGATTTTCTTAGTTCAAACATCGACAAGTCATCCGCGAAGTTATAATTACTAGGTTTAAATCCTAGAGTGAGTATCAATGCTGAGATGTAAGTACACACAATTGACAATTCCTGAATAGGAACGAAATGCGCGCTAAGTCATAACTTATCTATATTATACAAACCATTTTATGGCGAGTAAAATGACCGAATAAAAAATTTTGATATGCGACATACTCAAAAGCTTTGTGATGATTGATTCTAGTCAGTTATCCGAACTATTAGATCGAATCGGTGCAAAAGCAATCAGTTAGTCAGCTACAGCGTAGAACGTCGAACGTACGTACCTAAGTACGTAGATCATTTCAAGCTGCCATAACACATTAGCACACAGAGATAGAATTATCAAGCGAAATACTAATGTAGTAGAGGTAATAGAAGTATTAGTTATCATGGAGAACATTACGGATCAAAGATATCAGTGAAAGAAATATAAAAGGAGAAAGATAAAGGTCATGAGGAATTCAGTAGATTAGAATTCGAAACAAGACAAGGAATGGATGCACTAGCATCACTCCAAACGATTTTGAACCATGTCATTCAAGGTCCCTAACCATCGGTTACGATTGTTTCACAGACCCGAACCAGGCAGTCTACACCTACTAACATGGCTCAGTCCCAAACGTCAATGATTCCATGGATTTGTGCCATGTTTTGGTTTGGCCGCCCCTAGCCTTCTTCCAGCCCAAAACCTACACCGTGTATCACCGCTCGTTTAAGTAGTTAGTGGTTGGGCATACATGAGATATGTTCCAACCATCTCAAATGATGAAGATCCACAGCTTCATCTACTGATCTGTCATCTTTACCTATCACCTGTTTGTAAACAATGTGCTTGATAAGTGATAAACACATTAACTAAATGACCGGTGTCAGGCAAGGTTGTTTACTCTCACCCCCCTCTCTTTCTCATTCTGATCGACTGGATTATGAAAACGTCAACATTTGGGGGGAATCACGAGATACAGTGGACAACTAAGATGCAGCTGGACGATCTAGACTTTACAAATGATCTGGCTCTCCTATCCCACACACAATAACAAATGCACGAGAAGACGAACAGTATAGCTGTAGCAGGTCTCAACATACATAAAGGGAAAAGCAAGATTCTCTGATACAACGCAACATCCACCAACCGAATCACACTTGATGGAGAGGATTGGGCAGATGTGAAAACCTCTATATATCCGGGCACCATCATTGACGAGCAAGGTGGATCTGATACCGATGTAAAGGCGTGGATCGGCAAAGAAAGGGTGGCATTTTTACAATCCAACAACATCTGAAACTCTAAACAACTATCAACCAACACCAAAATCAGGATGTTCAATACAAATGTCAAGACAGTTCTACTGTATGGAGCGGAAACTTAGAGAACTACCAAAGCGACCATCCACAAGATACAAGTATTTATGAACAGTTATCTACAAAAAATACTTCAGATCCCCTGGCCAGACACCATCAGTAACAACCTATTGTGGGAGAGAACAAACCAGATTCCAGTGGAGAAGGAAATCAGGAAGAAGCGCTGGAGTTTGTGGAAAGGATACATATTGAGGAAAGCACCCAACTGCGTCACACGAGACAGGCCATAGTTTGGAACCCTCAAGGTCAAAGGAGAAGAGAAAGGCCAATGAACATAATATACGCCAAGAAATGAAGACAGACATGAGAAGAATGAACAACAATCGGACAGAACTAGAAAGGAAGGCAAAAGACAGAGTAGGTTAGAGAATACTGGTCGGAGGTGGCTATGCTCCATTTAGGAGTGTAACAGGCGTAAGGAAATAAGTAAGTAAACAAGTACAATAACTCGATAGTTGAAGTAAACAGATTACTCCTCTTACATCAAATCAATCACATCTCTCCAACTGTTGGTTATGTGGTGATTGGCACTACGTACGATTTTGTCCATTTAAAAAACATAAATGTCAGATGTGTCATAAACGTGAACATAAAGAAGGCCATTGTCAACCAAATCGTACGTCTCAGTCCAAGAAGAAGCACAAACGTTCTCGACATGTGGTGAAATCAGCCGAGTTTAAATCACTTTCTCTCGTAGCTGCTTTTCAAACAGACTATGACGTTCGGATAAAGTATATTACTATCCATATGAACGGTGTATCAGCTCGTTTTCAAATCGACACGGCATCTGATATCACCTTAATGTCTAGAGAAACGTATAACTTGTCGGGAAAACCGCCAATGAAGCCATCTAAGAAAACAGCTAAAAGCGCTTCAGGTGGTATATTAAAACTGGTTGGTGAATTGCAGTGTGAATTTTCCTTCAACGGAACAAAATGTACAGGAATATGCTATCTGACAGAATGACCAAACCTTGATCTTCTTGGTCTAGATATGCTAGAAAAACGGAATAATGGATGTACCCATTAACAGTGTCTGTAGCGTATCATCAGTGGACATCCCGATACTTAAAAAGAAGAAAGGTGAAAGGTTACAAGATAAACGGAAGAGGAAGTCAGCCTCTGTTTTTCAGAATAGCCTTGGCCGCTGTACGAATATGAAAGCTCACCTACCAGTGAAAGCAGATGCCAAACCTATTTCACATCCGAGACGCCCTATACCATATGCCGTTCATGAGCCTCAACAAAACTTATCGATGGAGAAGCAGCCCAATCGACGGTTGTTTAAAAATATGGCTCCGACAAAGCAGGCAGCTCGTAAGAGTATGGGTGGCAAGGCACCCAGGAAGCAGTTGGACTGTAGCACCAGATCCTACGAATTTTCTCAAAGGGGAGATGTTAGTGGAACATAGATGGAATTAAAGCATGATTACGTTGCTGCACGCTGATTGGCTAATTTCCTATCCAATCAGCGCCTGATCGATTGTTGGAGAACAGGGTAGAAAATTCTCGTATTGCTGGGCTGCATGCTGATTGGCTAAATCTAATCCAGTCGATCACGTGAATTTCTAACCAGAAGCTTCTCATGTAAATGCCATAAATAGACTAACGTTGTATCTATTTTTGGCCTTCGGCTTCTTATTTCCATTTAACCTTGCTATTTTGGAATATAACCATTTCCTGTTCAACCGTGTTTTTTTTTATTCTTGGGAACTTGTCCAGTGTATTGTTTGTGGTCAGAGAATAAATACTAAGCAATAGGATTTAGCTGGAAATTATCTAAGCGAAGCGTTACAACGCCAACATTTTTCTACAATTTTAAGGGAAAATAGCGCAACAACAAAAAAATTAACCAATAAAAATCAATTATTTTCGTTTTACCCCAGTTGGCTGGAAAATATGTTCCTGAAGGTTCTACCATGCCAGGCAGGTCGATTGGAGAACAATGAGACTAAAAGCAGCTACCCAAGGTCTGAGGGGGAAGTCGTACTGCTGACTGACTGCAGAGGGGTGTGACAGCAGTAACGTGTTTCCCTCGGACAACCAGCATCTGCAGCGATGCTGCCTTCTCACAACGAAGGAACGAAGGGTTAGAAAAGGTCGACCCTAAAAATGTCACACCTCACCCTACCTCACGGATTTCCGTCTCCTCGGGTAAGGGTGCCCACTAAGAGCTTTCAAGAGCGGAGCTAACACTCAAAAAACTTCCCATAAAAAGGCCGTGCGTGACCGGACTCTGCGGTCCCACTCCCAGGTCTCTAAAGACCAACACTAATCTATCTTCCTTTTCAAGTCCCTCAAGAAACAACCTTCCACGGTGTGTGGGCAGCCGGGAAGTGACAACCACCCTCATACCCGCCGTTACAGCACACGAGACCACCCGAATTGGTCGAAATCAAAAAAGGAAAATAGCGCAACAATAAAAATTATTTTCGTTTTACCCCAATTGGCTGGTAAAGGACCTAACGGATCCAATACACCACCAGTTGTTGTAGTATTCAAACGTCCACTGGCAGCAGCATCATCATCCATTGGTTGGGCATCATCAGCAAAATTCCATACAGCATTAGCATAACGTTCATTGATACGTTGATGCAGTAGACCATTACGTGATGCAGTCATTTGTTGATAATTTTGTACTGTATTTAATAATGTTTGATTAGGACATAACCATGTCGTGGTACGTGTATTATGATCAATATAATAAACACGACCAACATTATCGGTACGTCGTTCCCATCTTAGAAAATAATAATAACAACGATAATAATAATAATAATAATAATAATAATAAATGTACTCTAACTACTTTTAAACAGATTTTCAAGTTGATTTCTAAAAAAAAAAATAATTTTTCTCGGTTAGTGCTTTTATAAACAAGTTCGCTTTCGACGGGATGAGGGAATGCTGACTTCATGCTCGAACGTCTTCCTTTATCTGGGCTTGGGACCAGCTGTAACCATTGAAGGACTCCAGGAGGACTTCAACATCTCAGGCGAAGCAAGGGATAATGTGGACAGCGCGGATGCACCTAGACGATTTGGATTTCACAGATGACCTAACTATTCCATCCGACACACAGTAATAAACGTAGGAGAAATCAGCTAGTTTAGCAGCAGTAGGTTTCAACATACAAAAGAGAGAGAAAAAAATCAAGATCCCACGATACAACACACCTCTAACGGAGAAGTTCTATGAGAGGTGGAAACCTCTACATATATCTGGGCACCATCATTGATTGGGCCAGGTGGATCTAATGCAGATGTAAAGGATTGGCAAAATAAGGGCAGTATTACTACAAGTCAAGAACATTTGGAACTCAAAACAACCAGTAACCAACACCAAAGAAACAATTTTCAATACAAACGTCAAGACAGTTCTGTATGCATGTGCACCATTGATTTGGAATGCGAGTTTTCCAACTTTCCTGGGTGTCTTTTCCATACCCAACTATCCGGTTAAAGCCCTTGTCGGAAACTCAGTTTAGCGAACAACACCTGTGAGTAAGACTTCCCTGGTAATGGCATTTTAAGATAAAGAAGAGTGAACTTTCCTTACCGTCGGTCGAACAAGGGCATACCAACTTACTCCGAATGCAATAAACATTACATGCAACAACAAACGTAAAAAACTGTAACTCAATAAAAGCTGAATAGATTAAACTTATACTAAGTAAACAAAACAATAGATGGAAAACTATAAATTCATATATGAACATAACGTATACACACATTAATTGACTATTTCTGTCACATTAACTAATACAAATGTATAGAGAGAGAACTAGAAACTTGATCACATCATTGATAAACCTCTTTCTAGTCTACGCACAAATCAACAATCATAAAATTCATTGAAATCGAGAACCAATTATTGATATTAGACTGTTACTACGCATGCACGTAAACACGTCATTTTGATATGCTTGAACTATTACGAGTGTACCTAGTCGGAAAACGAGAGTAAGGATCGAGGATCCGGCGACATGACATGCTACTCAAATCCGATTATCCTAACCCCCATATTTAGTAAAAATAAGAAGACGTGATATGAAGTAGAACCTGTATTCTACGAGCATCCAGAAAGTACGAGGTCCGAATCCAGAAGAGGTTAGGATCCCGGACTAGGGATCTAGTTTCGGGTCCGGGTCATAAAACGTTACAGGTTATGCGTATTTATACATTTTGGTCGAACAGGAAACAGCATCGAAGTCTGTGACATTGACAGTTAAGACGACCAATAGGAAGCAACATTTGAAGTGACATTGATAGTCAGGACAACCAACAAGAAACAAAATTGGAGTAGGTGACATTGATATCTAGGACGACCATAAAATTGACCAGTAGGAATTAACCAATAGGAATTGGCCGTTAATTCTCTTAGGATATTGGATGAATATCCTTACACAAACCACCATTAGAAACCAGGAAACACTGGACAGCCAGCCGTCAAGTCCTAGTATGAGACTCCCGATGCGAGAACCGAACCCAAGACCTTCGTTCTAGTGAGCCAATACTTAATCCCTAGTGTTAGGATATAATCATCCAATATCCTAAGAGAATTATTAGTCAGTTCCTATGGGTTAATTCCTACTGGTCAATTTTATGATCGTCCTAGATATCAATGTCACCTACTCCAATGTTGTTCCTTATTGGTCGTCTTAACTGTCAATGTCGCGGACTTCGATGCCGTTCCTCATTCGACCAAAATGTATAAATACGCATTATCTGTAACGTTTTATGACCAGGAAGATCCAGTCACGGATCCCTAGTCCGGGATCCTGATTCTCTTCTGTGCTAGGACCTCGTACTTTCCGGATGCTTATAGAATGCGGGTTCTACTTCATATCAAGTCTTGTCTTCTTTTACTTAAAACGAGAGTTGGGATAATCGGATTTGAGTAGCATGTCGTGTCATCACCGGATCCTCGATCCTCGCTCTCGTTTTCCGACTAGGTAAACTCGAAATAATTCAAGTATATCAAGTTGACGTGTTTACGTGTGCAGGCGTAACACCTAGACCAGTGTTAATGTCTAACTTTGATCAATACAATCTATTGCACAACCAACCTCAACCCCATTGTCTTTGGCAGTTACTGCCTACACCCATCATGACTAGTCACAACATCTCACTAGAACTTCGAAAAATTTCTTCCAAGAGTCATGGATACGCGCTGCTGATAACGAGTAACAAAACAGCCATCTAGTGCTTCCAGATTTGTTTTTCTAACTTGTCCATGCAACTCACAATCTAATCTGTTATATTTAATAATAATTTTCAAAAAAAAGAGTAACGCCAAAATTTTACCCAGGTGGTAATGGTGTAGGTTTACACCATGTTGTAGTTTTAGTCAAATGATCCACATAATAAATTCGTCCTTCCGATGTGTATTTAATTTCCCAACCAGGTGGTAATTGTGACGTAGATGATGAAGTATGATTATTATTATTATCATTGGCAGCATTGTCTGTAATGGCTGTTGTTTGATTTGTGGAATTGGTTGTTGTTGGCGTCGTCGTTGTGGACGTTGTGGACGCTGTCGACGTCGTCGTCGTTGACTCATTGTTACTAGTGTTATTATGATGATTATGATTCATCATTACAGTTGGCAGCGGGGGACGACGTGGTTCACTAGATGGTGATCTGATTGTTTGATGATGTTGTTGTTGTTGTTGTTGAGAATGAGGATGATGTAGATGAGGATGATTAGATTCGGTGTGTGAACCGGAAAGATGACGACCATTCATCTTATTAATAATAGAGACAAAGAAAAATAATAATCAATAAAAATACAATCAATACAACGACTAACCAGATGTGAGTGAATAGAATTTTGTTTGTGACCCCCCACCCCAATAAAAAAACACATCAATCAAAGTATGATGATTTAGTAGGTCAGTCAGTCGGTTACAACCTAGAACTTCCTACGTAGGGACGTACGTACGTACATCAGTTCAAGTTGACATACTACAACATTTGCACAGAGATGGCATTATCACTACAAATCCCATAGTAGTAGAGGTAGTAGTAGAAGGCAGATAGACAAATACAACGCAGAACTTCGTACGTACGTAAGCACGTCAGTCCACGTTGCCATACCTCATCAGCACAGAGACACAACTGTCAGTTCAAATACAAGAGTGATAGCAATAATAGAAGTATTAGCAGAAATGGAGAAGATTAGGGAGCGAAGATATGATTCGAAAAGTATAATTCAGTAAGATAAATTTAGAAGGACAAAGGTAGAGATTATGAGGAATTCAGAAGATTAGAATTTGAGAGAACACAAAGAATGGATGCACCTGAGACATAGTAAACGATTTTGAGCCATCTCATTCAAGGTCTCTAACTATCGGTGACTTTCGTCTCGCACACCTCAACCAGGTAGCCTACATCTACTAACATGACTCAGTCCGATTGTCAGTGACTTCATGGATTTGTGCCATGTTTTGGTTTGGCCGCCCCTAGCTTTCTTCCAATCTATTCCTACACTGATGAAGTCTCACTACTTCATCTATTGATCTTCTCTCCCTATCTAGAACTCATTTCCTAACGACAGCATTGCTTATACGGTTGTCCCATGATACACGAGCAATGCTTCGGAGACACCGATGATCGAAGACTAGTAACCTACAGAAGTCCTCTACTCTTAACGGCCAAGTCTCGCATCCGTGTAGTAGGACAGAGCGAACTGCTGCACAGTACACTCGTCCTTTAGTCAACAAACGGATATCTCGCCTACGCCATAAGTGACGCAGGTTGGCAAAAGCCAATCGAGCCTTCTGTATCGATGCTGAGATTTCGTCAATCACCAGGCCATCAGCACTGATGAGACTCCCCAGATTAGCGGTAATCGGAGAGATTAGGTTCCGACGATATTATTCAAGAAGTTATAATCTAGTGAAATCAACTTAAAAAGAAAAAGATAAAGGTGATGAGGAATTCATAAGGTTAAGATTTATGAGAACACACCTGCACCATTGCAAACGATTTTAAGCCATGTCATTCAAGGTCTCCAACTATCAATGATTACTATGCTTTAACATAAGTACCCCCTTTTAGTCAGTTGTAAATCCTGATTGGTTCACAAATTTAGTTCAAACAGTTCATAAGTTAGTCAACTAACCTGTACAAAATGCTGTTACATTTTTTTAAAAACAGACATAGTTTCTATTGCCAACATCAAATAGACCAAATCATATTCTAACTCCATAAAGTAACGAAATACATTTCAACCTCAGCAAACCAAAAAGTGACTGGTTGTGAATAGAGAAGACCATTTTTTTAACAAAATAAACTAGCCATTTTAATTGTTACTTACTTTACTTACGCCTATTACCCCCCACCCTTCAATGAAGCTCAACGGTTTAACTCCGACCGTTGCAACTAATTAACTAAAGCTCTAGTGTAAACGCATTCAACACTTATCAAGTAGATAGATACATTTTCAACATTCAACTTCGCGCTTAGGTGTAAACCGCCCTCATACCCGTAACAGCACACGAGACCAAATTGGTCGAAATAAAATGCTTCCTACACCAACACACAACTCTCAACGCACTCTACTCACAGTCCCTTTTCTCACTGCACCGCTAATGTAGACGGAGCGAGTTCACGAAACGTCATTCCTGGTCTCTTGAAACCTCGTCCTAGATTACATGTTGGAGCCTCGTCGAGCTTTGTTTTGTAGTGTAGGAATAGGTTGGAAGAAAGTTAGGGGTCGGCCAGACAAAACATGGCACAAATCCATGAAGTCATTGACGATTGGACTTAGCCATGTCGGTAGTTGTCGACTACCTGGTTGGGGTCCGCGCGATGATAATAATCGATAGTTAGACACCCTGAATGACATGGCTCAAAATCGTTCGCAATGGTGCAAGTGCATCCACTCTTTGTGTTCTCTCAAATCCTAATCTTCTGGATTCTTCAACACCTCTGGTTTTGACTTTCTAACCTTATCTCACTGAATTATACTTCTTGAATAATATCTTCAAACCACCCTAGTCTTCTTCATTACCATTAATACCTCTACTATCTCTATCACTATGAGATTTGATTTGACATTTGCGTCTCTGTGCTAATAATGTGGTATGGTAACATGAACTGATGTACTTACGTACGAAGTTCTACATTGCATCTGACTGACTGACTGACTCTTCTGGGACTAGTGTCGGTCCTAAGCCCGCAATTAAAGGAGAAGGGTTGACGATCCCATCCCATCCCATTAAAAAACAAACTAACTCACTTAAAACAGAAAGACGCTCGCTATACACACTATAACTAACTCACTAACTAACTAACTAGCTAGATTTATTGATATTTAGACTCGATTAAACAGTATTATATATAATATTGACTAACACAAATTGAACCGAACTAGATTTTTGAGATTGGCAAAAAAACAATTGATCGGTTGTTAGTACAATTACAGAAAAAAACATGTGTGATGTAAAAAAGCATAAACCAAGTAGAATAAAAATTATAATCAGCTAATATCAATAGCCGATCAATACATGTGACCATAATTAAACACACAACAACAAAAGAACAGAAGGTACATGAACTGACCGCTACACTCGTAGTAAGTACTACATTTCACATTCACATTCATTCATTCATAACCAAACAGGAACAACACATGGACGGAACGAATGTGATGTAAAGTTTTCAGTCAGTCGGTCAGTCAGTTGCAACGTAGAACTTCGTACGTATGTACATCAGTTCAGGTTGTCATACCATACCACATAAGAACAGAGATGCAAATGTCAAATCAAATCCCATAGTGATACAGATAGTAGAGAGGTATTAATGGTAATGAAGATGACTAGGGTTAGAAGATATTATTCAAGAAGTATAATTCAATGAGATAAGGTTCAAAAGACAAAGGTAGATGTGCTGACGATTCCAGAAGATTAGGATTTGAGAGAGCACAATGAATGGATGCACTTGCGCCATTGCAAACTATTTTGAGCCATGTCGTTCAAGGTCTCAAACCATTGGTGACTTTCGTCACGCGGACCCCAACCAAGTAGCCTACATCTACCAACATGATTCAGTCCACTTGTCAGTGACTTCATGGATTTCTGACATGTTTTGGTTTGGCCGCCCCTAGCTTTCTTCCAATCTACTCCTACACTACAAAACAAAGCTCGTCGAGGCAGTCAGTGATTGAGCATTCGTAACACATGTCCCAACCACCTCAATTGATGAAGTTTCATTACTTCATCTATTGATCTGCCATCCCTACCTAGTACGGGATTCCTAACTATAGCATTGCTTAGTCAGTTGTCCCACGATATACGAGCAATGCTGCGAAGACACCTACAATCGAATACTAATAACTTACGAATATCCTCTACTCTAACCGGTCATGTTTCGCATCCATATAGTAGGACGGAGTGAACTGCTGAGCAGTACACTCGTAATTCAGTCAGCAAACGGATATCTAGCCTATGCCATAAGTGACGCAAGTTGGGTTTTCATGGTTGTCTAACTTAGATTGATCTGTGATTTCAATTTAAAAATGAACTTACAACACACAATAAAATGCAGACAGACAGACACAACGCGGAGCTTCGTACAAAAATACATCAGTTCAGGTTGCCATACCACACATTAGCACACAGATGCAACTGTTGGTTCAAATCCCATAGTGGTAGCGATAGTAGAAGTATTAGCGGTAATGAAGAAAATTAGGGTTCGAAGATAGTTCAAGAAGTATGATTCATTGAGATAATTTTAGGAGGCGAAAGATAGGGATGGTGAGGAATTCTGAAGATTAGAATTTGAGAGAACACAATCACTGAATACACCTGCGCATTGCAAACGATTTTGAGCCATGTCGTTCAAGGTCTCTAACCATCGATTATTATCATCACGCAGATCCCAAACCACATAGTCAACATCTACCCCGACCGAAGCTGCTACCTTGACGTGGTGGTCGGGCTTGCCTATCGTGATGACCCAACCGAGCTATACTGGCTGGAACACATGTTCCTGCAGGTCCTACCATGCCAGGCAGGTCGATTGGAGAACGATGAGACTAAAAGCAGCTACTCAAGGTCTGAGGGCGAAGTCGTACTGCTGACTGCAGAGGGGTGTGACAGCAGTAAGGTGTTTCCCTCGGACAACCAGCATCTGCAGCGATGCTGCCTTCTCACAAGGAAGGAAGGGTTAGAAAAAGTCGGCCCTAAAAATGTCACACCTCCCCTACCTCACGGATTTCCGTCTCCTTGGGTAAGGGTGCCCACTAAGGGCCTTTAAGAACTGAGCTAATCCTCTAAATACCTCTCATAAAAAGGCCGTGCGTGACCGGCCTCAAGCAGTTGTCCCTTGGACTCTGCGGTCACGCACCAACACTAATCCATCTTCCTTTTCAGGTTCCTCAAGAAACAACCTTCCACGGTGTGGGCAGCCGGGAAGTGATAACCGCCCTCATACCCGCAACAGCACACGAGACAAAATTGTTCAAAATCAAATCCTTCCTACATTCCCTAATACCTCTCTTATCTCCACAACTAACTCTTCTCACATTCATTTATTACAGTGCACAGCTAATGCAAACGATGCGAGTCTGCGAAACGTCGTTCCTGGTCTCCTTAAACCCCGTTCCAAACTACATGTTGGAGCATTCAATGTACGGACATTGTGTCAAATAGGGCAACAGGCATCATTAGCTAGGACTTTAGAATCTCGTTCCATCGATGTGTGCTGCGTCTCGGAAACGCGCATACAGGATCCGAGTAGCATCACTCATTTGACCTCACCATGTCAAGATAAAGAAGCAGCTCGATTTACTCTTCGTGTATCCGGTAGCCCTGATGCTGCTTCTAGGGGCCTCGCCGGTGTAGGTATAGCATTGAGTCGTAGGGCAGAACAATCTCTCCTTGACTGGATCCCTGTAGATAGTCGCTTGTGCGCAGTCCGACTCAACGGGACAGTAAGGACTCGGAAAGATAGGGACACTCGCCGTTGCCTCTTCGTCATATCAGCCTACGCCCCCACTGACTGCAGCCCAGATGATGTAAAAGATGAGTTTTACAGAAAGCTTTCAGACCTCCTCCAAAAAGTTAAGCGCTCTGATATAGTTATAATGGCTGGTGACTTCAATGCACAAGTAGGTAGACTAAGTGAAAATGAAAGACACCTAGGTGGATGTTACGGTCTCGCGGCTCAAAGAACAGACAATGGCGACCGTCTGTTGCAACTGTGCTCAGATAACCAACTATTTCTAGCAAACACTAATTTTAAGCATAAGGAAAAACACCTTTTGACCTGGCGACCCCCGAAGTCGTCTCAACGTTGGACACAACTAGATCATATCGCCATCAGCCACCGATGGAGGGGTTCGATAGAGGACTGTCGCTCGTTCTGGGGCACATGTTTAGATTCAGATCATGCCCTAGTGCGAGCACGTATTTGTTTGAGGCTTGCTGGACGTAGGAAAGACACCGTAAGCAAGCCTCTTAGGGCTTTACTTGATGATAATCAAGCTAAGAAAATATTTCAGGAGGAACTAGAAAAACAGTTGGGCGATCATGCAAGTGATTCCCATCCGGAGTCAGGTTGGAATGATATAAAGAAGGCTGTGGAAACAGCAGTGATATCTGCTAGCAAGGTAAACCATAAGGCTAGGATGAAGCCGTGGATTTCAGTCGCATCCACCGAACTGATGGATGCTCGAAAACGCATCCCACCTGACTCTGAACACGATGAAGAGCGTACTCAACTTAGGTGCAGACTTATAAAAAGCCTACGTAACGACCGTGAACAGTGGTGGGTGGCGAAAGCAAAAGCGATGGAAAAGGCAGCGGCGATAGGCAACACTAGACAACTTTTCCACCTAATCAAAGAAACCGGTATTAGGAACCCGAATGTAAGTGAGACTATCTCGGAAAAGGATGGTCTTATTATCCATTCTCAATCTAGGAGGCTGGACCGATGGGCAGAACACTTTAGGGATCAGTTCAACTGGCCTTCAGCCACTCTTCGGTTGCCCACGATCTCCAGTCATCCGGAATGGCAAATCGATTTAAGTCCTCCCAGTGTACATGAAGTTGAGAAAGCTATAGGAAATCTAAGGAGAGGTAGAGCGGCAGGTCCCGATAGGCTTATCCCTGAGATGTTTAAGGATGGTGGTCCAGTTTTAACGGTTAGACTGACCGAGATCCTAGGTAGAATCTGGGAAATGGACGTAATCCCATCTGACTGGTCCCAGTCGCTAATTGTCCCAATCTACAAGAAAGGACAGAAGTCCTCTTGTGACAATCACAGGGGAATAAGTCTAACTAATATAGTTTCTAAATTGTTAGCCTCGATTATACTTAGACGTCTAACTAGAGCTCGCGAAGAGCAGACTCGAGAAAACCAGGCTGGTTTTCGACCTGGACGTGGTTGTATAGACCACATCTTCACACTACGACAGGTCCTGGAACACAGACACACATTTAGGCGTCCGACAATAGTCGTGTTCCTAGACCTTAAGGCGGCATTCGACTCAGTGGATCGTGAGGTTCTGTGGCAGTGTCTGTCATTGAAAGGTGTACCAAAGAAGTACATTAACCTTATACAAGCACTCTACTCGAACACCACTGGTCGGGTGAGAGCATATGGCGAACTGTCAGCTGAATTCTCTACATCAAGTGGTGTCCGTCAGGGCTGCCCACTCTCTCCATTCTTGTTCAACTTTATCGTAGACATCCTCTTAGAGTTAACATTAAGCTCGTCAGATTTTTCAGGGGTTGACCTTCTACCAGGAAAATCGCTTACTGATCTAGAATATGCCGATGACATAGTTCTATTCGGTGAAGACGCTGACAAAATGCAGAGTCTTCTGACTACCCTAAGCAACAATGCAAGCATGTTCGGGATGCGGTTTTCCCCCTCGAAATGCAAAATGTTGCTTCAAGACTGGATTGCATTGACACCTCAACTAGTGATAGGGAGTGAAGTAGTCGAGCGTGTAGATCACTTCACTTATCTTGGGAGTCTCATCAGTGCTGACGGTCTGGTGACTGACGAAATCTCAGCTCGGATACAGAAAGCTCGATTGGCTTTTGCCAACCTGCGTCACTTATGGCGTAGGCGTGATATCCGTTCGCTAACCAAAGGACGGGTGTACTGCGCAGCAGTTCGTTCCGTTCTCTTATATGGCTGTGAAACATGGCCGTTAAGAGTAGAAGATGTTCGTAGGTTACTAGTATTCGATCATAGATGTTTAAGAAGCATTGCTCGTATATCGTGGGACAGCCGAGTAAGCAATGCTGTCGTTAGGAAACGAGTACTAGGTAAGGATGGCAGATCAATAGATGAAGTGGTGAAACTTCATCAGTTGAGGTGGTTGGGACATGTGTTACGTATGCCTAACCACCGACTGCCTCGACGAGCTATGTTTTGTGGTGTAGGAGTAGGTTGGAAGAAAACTAGAGGCGGCCAGACAAAAACATGGCAGAAATCCATGAAGTCACTGACAAGTGGACTGAGTCATGTTGGTAGATGTAGACTACCTGGTTGGGGTCCGCGAGATGATAATAATCGATGGCTAGAGACCTTGAAGGACATGGCTCAAAATCGTTTGCAATGGCGCAGGTGCATCCATTCGTTGTGCTCTCTCAAATCCTAATCTTCTGGATTCGTCAGCACTTCTACCTTTGTCTTTCTAACCTTATCCCACTGAATTATATTTTTTGAATAATATCTTCAAACCCTAGTCTTCTTTATTATAACATTAATACCTCTATTATCTTTATCACCATGGGATTTGATTTGACATTTGCGTCTCTGTGCTAATAATGTGGTATGGCAACATGAACTTATGTACATACGTACGAAGTTCTACGTTGCAACTGACTGACTGACTGAGTCAACATCTACCAACATGACTCAATCTAGCTGTCAGTTACTTCATGGATTTGTGCCATGTTTTGATCTGGCCAACCCTACCTTTCGTTCAAGCTATTCTTATATCGCAAAACATAGCTCGAACGGGCAGTCGGTGGTTAGGCATACGCAACACATGTCCCAACAACCTCCACTAAAGTTATATTATCCACCTGTCATCCTGACCTAGCACCCGTTTCCCAACAACAGCATTGCCTACTCGACTGTCCCACAATACTTGAGCAATGCTTTGGAGACACAGAGGATCAAAAACAAGCAACCTACGAATATCTTCTACTCCTACTGGCCACGTTCCAGCCATAAAGTAGGACGGAGCGAACTACTGCGCAGAAAACTGTGATTTGATGGATTTCTCAAAGACCGACACTAATCTATTCTCCTTTTCAGCCTCCTCGAGTAACGCCTCTTCCACGGTGTGTGCAGCCGGGAAGTGACAACCGCCCTCTTACCCGTAACAGCACGCGAGACCAAATCAGTCACAAACAAATCCTTCTTGCACACCCCGTAATATCTCTCTTCTCTCCACGACTAGCTCTTCTCACAACAAAATGCTTCTACTCATATATCCTCCCTCCCCCCCCCACACACACACAGAGATAAAAATCAATAATCATACCATCTACAGAATAGAAAAAAACATCACCAACTTACAGAATTAGTTGTTAGTCTGGATATGGACCTGGACAAGTGTTGAGCTAATAATGCACTATTCAATTCACGTGGTGGAACAGAAATGATCAAATCAATACTGCCTAGTGGATTCGATGCAGAAATACTAGGATTAATTAACCATGGCAATGGTTTAATTGGTTGTGAAAATAATAAATTGTTCACTGGAAAACAAAACCAATAAGAAGGTGAGGGAAATAACAACTGAAATATGATTGGACAGAATAATATAATGTACATAGGACAAGCCAATCAGGTGAATGCATGATATCCATTGGTTAAGAAATAGATTGATTTTCTAAGGGAAAGGGGAATATGTATATGTGTGTATATGAAGGAGTATTTATGAGTGTCGACTTAGCGTGAGCTGAATGCACTGGACTTAAAGAAAGTGTCCTGCTGATATTTAAACCCATGAACATTTCGATATGCAAAGTTGAATATTATCGCAGAATGCATTCTCATATTTAGTTAAATAATATATGAATGAACATCATTTGAGCAGAACTAGAAAGGAAGGTCCTGGACAGAGTAGACTGGAGAGTTGATTGGCGGCCTACGCTTCATTAGGCGAAACAGGCGTAAGTGAAACAATAAATATTTCACGTTGAAATCATGAATAGTGAATTATAGTCAGACCAACAACGGGAACCTGGAAGCACTGGACAGCCAATTCGACCTAGTATGAGAGTCATCAGTGGACAATGCGTATCCACAACTACTACTAATACTCGCAGGCTGGATTTCGTAAGGATCGATCGTAGTGTACCGACCAAATCGCAACATTACGGATCATTCCGGAACAATCACACTTGAATGAAACTCACCACCCTACATCGACTTCATTGACTAGGAGAAAGTATCTGAGAGCGTTGACAGGACAGCACTGTAGAGGCTTTTTCGACACTGCGGTGTGTCTGAGAAGACAGTCAACATCATACAGGATTCTTACGATGAATTAAACTGCGAAATCGTGCACGGAGGACAGCTAACAGACTCATTCGAGGTGAAGATCGTTGTCATAAAAAGTTGCTTACTCTCACCCTTTCTCTTTCTCCTTCTGATTATGAAGACGTCAACATTTGGAGGGAAGCACGAGATACAATAGAAAATTAGGATGCAGCTGGGCGACCTGCACTTTACAGATAATCTTGCTTTTCTAGCCCACACACAACAACAAATGCAAGAGAAGACGACCAGTATAGCAGCAGACTCAGCAGGTCACCACATACCTTAAGGGAAAAGCAGGATTCTCCAATACAACACAACATGTGCCAACCAAATCACTTTGGATGGAAATGCTTTGGAACACGTTAACACTTTGAACATATCTTGGCAGCATGATCAACAATCAAAGTGGTTGGATATTTTTTCAACTATGTTATTGCATAAAATTTTTTGAGTTATCATAGAATTGAGTAAAATAAAGAACCGGTGTATTGCTTGCCATCTTTACCTTCTGACGACTGACTGACTAATAGAGGGTTACTAGGAATGTCTAGACCAACAAGCGTTGACGCTTTGATGCTTATTCACTAGTGAATGTGTTGATTGGTTAAGGTAGAAAGTTATCTGTTTTAATAGAGAATAAGACATGAACCAATTGTGTTCGGATATTCACTCAATATCCTAAGATAATTGTTTGTAAGTCTAATTCTATTGGTCAATTCCTAACTATCAATGTCACATACTTCAAATGTTGTTTCCTAGTCAACCTAACTGTATAAATATGCATTATCTGTAACGTTTTATGACCTGGACCTGGATCCTTAGTCCGGGATCCTTATCTCCTCTTCTAGACTCGGACCTTGTACTTTCTGGATGTTTGTAGAGTACACGTTCTACTTCATATCAAGTCTTCTTCTACTTAGTGGGGCTTGCGACGCCCGGATTAGAGTAGCCTGTCATGTCACCGGATTCTCGCTCTCATTCACTGACTAAAGTGAACTCGTAATAGCATTCAAGCATATCAAAATGACATGTTTACGTGCATGTGTAACAAATTGATAATCGGACTAGACACAAAAAAGAGGTTATGATAGTCTTTCCATGATGTGTCATTACGACTCAACACCAAACAGGACTTAATATAATACACTTTGAGAGAGACAACGAAAAACCTGTGAACTGTATCCTTCGCATGAAACAATAAACCAAGTGATCAATGACTCAAATCCATGAATTAAGTCACTGACAACTGGACTGAGCCATGTTAGTAGGTGTAGACTACTTGGTTAGGGCCCATGATGATGACCTTCAGCTTTCCGGCGGTAAGGGTGTCCACTAAGGGCTTTCAAGAGCGGAGCTAATACTCAAAAAACCCTTCATAAAAAGGCCGTGTGTGACCGGCCTCAAGCAGTTGTCCCTTGGGCTCTGCGGTCACGCACCCAAATCTCTAAGACCAACACTAATCTACTTTCCTTTTCAGGTTCCTCAAGAAACAATCTTCCACGGTGTGGGCAGCCGGGAAGTGACAACCGCCCTCATACCCGTACCAGCACACGAGACCCAAAATCAAAAAAATTTATTTCACTGGATTATACTTCACCACAGATATCTTTCAACCCTAATCTTCTTCATTTCTGCTAATACCTCTACAACTTCTACTACTACTAATTACTATGGGATTTGACTTAACGATTTCATCTCAGTGTGTGCTAATGTTATGTGGTGTTATGCTCTTCACTAGTTTTTATACTTGAAACTATTACGAGTTCACCTTAGTCAGTAAACAAGAGCTAAAACAAATGATCCATTGACATGATAGGCTACTCTAATCCGAGCATCCTAAAGCTCCCACTAACAGTATCAAAAAGTCTTGATATGGCGTTGTTAGTGGGACATAGATGGAATTAAAGCATGACTACGTCAGCTGAGCGCTGATTGGCTAATTTGCTACCCAATCAGCGCCTGACCAAGTCTTGGAGAACAGGGTAGAAAATTCTCGTGCTGCTAGCTGCATTCTGATTGGCTAAAATCTAATCCAGTCGATCACGTGAATTACTATCCAGAAGCTTCCCATGTAAATGCCATAAGGAAACTAACGTTGTATCTATTTTTGCCTTGGGCTTCGGCCCCTTATTTGTATTTGACCTTGGCATTTGGGATATAATCTTTTTCCTGTTCAACCATGTTTTTGATTCTTTGGAACTTGTCCAGTGTATTGTGTGGTCAGAGAATACTAAGCAATAGGATTTAGCTGGGAATTATTTAAGCGAAGCGTTATAACAGGCGTAGAAAGTGTATTCTACAAACACCCAGAAAATATGAAGTTTTGTGCAGAAGAGGAGCATCAAACCTTTACAGAGACAATGCATATTTATACAGTTAGGTCGACTGTGAACACCAACCTCAATAGGAAACAACATTTAAAAATTATGTGAACTTGATAGTTAGTTTATTAAGATGACCTTCAATATTGACCAATAGAATTAGACTTTTAAAAAATCATTCAACTTACACTGATTCCCATTGGTAGTTGCAATACTACGTACAGAAAATCGACCATAACCAATAGCAATGCCTTCATCATGTTTACTATCACGTACCACTAGACGAAATTCAATCAGGCTATCAACATCCGCTTTGAAATTAATAATTTGATCAAAATAAGGACGTAGACTACGTACAATCGGAGTGACATAGAATGGAATTGAATTTAACGTTGGTGTATTTGATGCTGCTACCGCGGGCGGCAAGACTTCAGCGGTAAAATTAAATTTACATTTGTTTAAATGTACTCTAGCTAATGAATTCCAATCTAATGATTGATCAAGACGTGCACGTTTAACTGTTTGTTTTTTTTTGAAAAAAAAGTAGGAAAACAAATAAACAAAATAAAAATTGATTAGTAGGAAGAGAAAAAGAGAGAAATTTTTGTGATAGTGTTAGGATATTCATCCAATATCCTAATAGAATTTTATTGGTCAATTCCTATTGGTTAATTGCTATTGGTCAATTTTATGGTCGTCCTAATAGATATCAATGTCACATACTCCAATGTTGTTTCTTATTGGTTATCCTGACGATCAATGTCACTTTAAATCTTGTTTCCTATTGGTTGTCTTAACTGTCAATGTCACAGACTTCGATGCTGTTTCCTATTCGACATAAATGTATAAATACACATTATCTGTAACGTTTTATGACCAGGACCAGGGCTCGATCCCGGATCCCGATTCTCTTCTGGATTCGGACCTCGTACTTTCTGGATGCTCGTAGAATACACGTTCTACTTCATATCACGTCTTCTTATTTTTACTAAATATGGGGGTTATGATAATCGGATTTGAGTTTCATGTCGTGTCACCGGATCCTCGATCTTCGCTCTCGTATACTCGTAATAGTTGATGTATATCAAGTTGACGTGTTTACGTGCAGGCGTAACAGTGATAGAGTCCTGCTCTCTTTGAGTTCTCAATGTGGTTTATTTTGTTGTGGTATATTCATTGTTCTCTTCCACTGAACAACATCATTGTGATTGGCAGAAACTTCAAGTAGAATAAGAAAGTGAGTGTTACGATGCACGTCACCACGTCCGTTGATTATGCTTGAACTATTACGACTTCACTTTAATCGGTAAACGTGAGCGAGGATCGATGATTCGGCGTCACGATAGGTTTCTCTAATCCGAGAGTCCCAAATCCCCACTGAGTAGAAGACGAAGACTTGATACGAAGTAGAACGTGTGTATTGTACAAGCATCCAGAAAGTACGCGGTCCTAGTCCAGAAGAGGATTATGATCCCGGACTAATGATCCGGATCATGAAATGTTACAGACAGTGCATATTTATACAGTTAGGTCGAATAGGAAACAACATTTGAAGTCTGTGACATCGATAGTTAGGACAACCAATAGGAGTCAGCCAACAGGAATTGACCAATAGAATTAGACTGACAAGAAATAATTCTCTTAGGATATATAATGAATATTACTAACAGTGAGATATTCGAATTATCTTCACGTATGACTCGTCGTAGCTTGTCCTGTCGACCTCAATCTTGATTGATTAGTCACTGACACTTAATCTGTGATTATATTTATCTCTTTATTATACCTAATTGTACCCTGCATTGATTTGATACTTATTCCTCAGTCGAGAAATTCTATATGTAACGTAATTGGAATAGTTCACTTGTTGTTCTACCTGAAGTTTGTACTGCTGCTGCTGATGATGTTGTTCAGAAGCAAAAGAAGAACCATGAAAGCTCCACAACCAAAACCACATCCATTCGAGTTCAGAGAGAACGAAACTCTATCACATCCAATGATTCAAAGAAACTTTTAACAACAAACAATTCAACATGCTTTAGAAGTAAGTCGTAATATCAACTAGGATAAACATGATATTGGCTGACTATTGTAAACTATATGATTCGAAAAGGTTCACAGACAGAAGAGTATAAGTGTTCACTTAAAAACTGTAGGATGAACACTTCGCTTATTGGCAAGTATAAGTCAGTCAGTCAACTACAACGTAGAACTTCGTACATAAGTTCAACAGTTCAAGTTGCTGTACCACAGTAGCACATATTGTTAGGATATTCATCCAATATCCTAAGAGAATTATTGGTCAAATCCTATTGGTCGAAATTATGGTCGTCTTTACTGTCTAATTCCAATACTTCAATGTTGTCTCTTCTTGGTCATCCGGACTGTCAATGTCATTTCAAATGTTACTTACTATTGGTCGTCTTAACTGTTAATGCCACAGAATTCGATACTGTTGCCTATTCGACCAAAATGTATAAATACGCATTATCTGTAACATTTTATGACCACGACCAGGACCAGGGCTCGGTCCCGGATCCCTAGTCCGGGATCCCGATTCTCTTTCGCGCTCGGACATCGTAATTTCTGGATGCTTGTAGAATACGGGTTCCACTTCATATCACGTCTTATTTTTACTAAATATGGTGGTTGGGATAATCGGATTTGAGTAGCATGTCGTGTCACCGGATCCTCGATCCTGGCTCTCGTTTTCCGACTAGGGTAAACTCGTATTAGTTCAAGTATATCAAGTTGATGTGTTTACGTGCAGGCGTAACAACAGAGATCGAATTTTCAACTCAAATCTAAACAGTACTAGAGGTAGTAGAAGTATGAGCAATAATCGGAAAGACTAGGGTTTGAAATAATGATTCAAGAAGTATAATTCAATGAAATATGATTTTAAAAAAGAGAGAAAGATAAAGATGATTAGAAGTTCGGAAGATTAGAATTTGACATCACACATACAATAGATAATACATCTGCGCCATTGCAAACAATTTTCAGCCATATCAAGTCTCTAATCATTGATTACTATCATCTCGCCAACCATAAACAGGTAGTCTACAACACCGACTAGTTATCAGTGTTAAATGTTTTGCCATCAAATTAAATAAAAACCAATAGTTATATGCACACACACAACATGGCCGTTAAGAGTAGATGTTCGTAGGTTACTGGTATTCGATCATACATGTCTTAGAAGCATTGCTCGTATATCGTGGGACGACCGAGTAAGCAATGCTGTCGTTAGGAAACGAGTACTAAGTAAGGATGGCAGATCAATAGATGAAGCGGTGAAACTTCGTCAGTGAAGGTGGCTGGGACATGTGTTATGAATGCCTAAACAACGACTGCCCCGACGAGCTATGTTTTGTGGTGTAGGAGTAGGTTGGAAGAAAACTAGAGGCGGCCAGACCAAAACATGACAGAAATCCATGAAGTCACTGACAAGTTGACTGAGTCATGTTGATAGATGTAGGCCACCTAGTTGGGGTCGGAGAGACGAAAGTCACCAATGGTTAGAGACCTTGAACGACATGGCTCAAAATCGTTTGCAATGACGCAAGTGCATCCATTTGTTGTGCTCTCTCAAATCCTAATCTGGATTCGTCAGCACCTCTACCTTTGTCTATCTAACCTTATCTCACTGAATTATACTTCTTGAATAATATCTTCAAACCCTAGTCTTCTTCATTACCACTAATACCTCTACTATCTTTATCACTATGTGATTTGAATTGACATTTGCGTCTCTGTGTTAATGTGGTATGTCAACCTGAACTTATGTACATGCGTACGAAGTTTTACGTTGCAACTGACTGACTGGCTGAACACACACACACGCACATCTAAAGAAATGTAGATCTACGATAGGCTATTCTAATCCGTTTGTCCCCGATCCGGCCAATTATATCAAGAAGTCTTTCATGATAAGGAGTAGAAAGTGTATTCTATAAGCATGCAAATCAGGGATAAACGGATTGGAATAGCCTATCGTGTCACTGCATCATATTTATCTTCCGTCCGTTTACCGAGGAGTAAGGTGAACTCGTAATAGCATGCAAAAGCATATCGGGTAAGGGGAAGGAAAGGAGTATAAAAAAGACGGACACAGATACAACGTAGAACTTTAAACGTACGTGGACCAGTTCACGTTGTCATACCGTATTAGTGCAGAGAGATAGAATTATCAATCCAAATCCCATAGTAGTAGAGGTAGTAGAAGTATTAGCAGCAATGGAGAAGATTAGGGTTCGAGGATATGATTCGAGAAGTATAATTCAGTGAGATAAGTTTAGAAAGAGAAAGGTAGAGATGATGAAGAATTCAAAACGATAAAATTTGAGAGAACACAATGAATGAACACAAAAAGTGAATGCACCTAAGCCATAGCAAACGATTTTGAGCGATATCATTCAAGGTCGATTATTATCATCTCGCCTACATCGACCAACATGACTCAGTCCACTTGTCAGTGTCTGCATGGATTTGTGCCATGTTTTGGTCTGGCCGTCCCTAGCTTTCTTCCGACCTACTACTACACCACAAAACATTGCTCGACGAGGAATTCGGTAGGTAGGCATACGTAACAAATGTCCCAACCACCTCAACTGATGAAGTCTCACCACTTCATCTATTGATCTGCCATCCTTACCTACTACTCGTTTCCTAACAACAGCATTGTTTACTCCATTGTCCAAGAATACACGAGCAATGCTTCGGAGGTATCTATGATCGAAAACCGGTAACCTACGAATATATTCTACTCTTGTTGGCCATGTTTCGCAGCTATAAAGTAGGACGGAGCGAACTGCTGTGCAGTAGACTCGTCCTTTGGTTAGCAAACGGATATCTTTCCTACACCATAAGTGACGAGAATTGGCAATCGAGCCAATCGATCCTTGTGTATCTGTGCTGAGATTTAGTCACAAATCAAGGCCATCAGCGCTGATGAAACTCCCGAGATAAGTACAACTACATCTTAGTTCCGATGTAAGAGGTAATTTTGGTCGATGATTTACATAGATTTAGGAATTTCAGTTAACTACTCCCTAGGTATTTGGATTTGAGCTACGCTGCAACTGTGAGGATTAATAATATTGCCCAGTCGCCTGAACCGTAGTGAGCAGAGCGAAGTTCGAATGTGAGACTTAATGGTTGAGAGTTAAACGCTTTAACGACTAAGTCACTGCTTCACCAATCAACACACAAATGCTTAGTATATACATATAAATGGTACCCGAAACTTACCCACAAGTTTAATTTCAACTTCGGAAAGACTTCCTCTCTCAGATGACATCTAGGAAGAAATTATGATAAGAAAAAATTAAATTACTCAACTAGACATGATGAGCAAAAAACCATCAGTATTCAGTTTGTATATCAACCATGTAATTATTTATTTAGATTTTCAACTGGGTTTTGCGTGCTATTAGTTGAAAATTGAAGGTTCATTGAAGAAGGTATAAGCTTTGACTGAATGAAGTGTATTCATAGGCTATGAGTAACATATACTTCGCTACTGTCTACTTTGAGATCGTATCGTGTGGGTAGGTTCGGCCATTTGATTGTGACTTATTTGGTGTCGTGTGCTGTTACGGGTAATGAGGGCGGATGTTACTTCCCGGTTAGCCACACCGTGCTAGGGTGCTTCTTGAGGAAACTTGAAAATGTAGTTGGACAAGTGTGTTGGTCTTAGAGACCTGAGAGTGTGACCGCAAAGCCAAAGGGACAACTGCTTGGGGCCGGTCACACACGGCCTTTTTATGGGTAGTTTTTACAGGGTTAGCTCAATTCTTCAAAACGTCTTACCACCGGAGACGGAAGTCCGTGAGATAAGGTAAGGTGTGACATTTTTAGGGTCGACATTTTCTAACCCTTCCTTCCTTGTGAGAAGGCAGCATCGCTGCAGATGCTGGTTGTCCGAAGGCGACACCTTACTGCTGTCATACCTCTCTACAGTTAGTAGTACCTCTTCGCCCTCAGACCTTGAGTAGCTGCTTTTAGTCTCATCGTTCTCCAATCGACCTGTCCGGCATGGTAAAACTTATAGGAACATATGTTCAAGCCAATATAGCTCGGTTGGGTCATCACGATAGGCAAGCTCGACCATCACGTCAAAGTAGCAGCTACGGTCAGGTGTGAGGTTAGAAAAAGAAGTCAAGTATAGCTAAATTAGGACATTAAACCATTACAGTAGGTTGTTTAGAAGTAGTTTAAACCAGATCTGGCTTCCTGATTGAGTATCTGCTTATCAGTTATGATTAACGGTTGGATATGTTTAGTGACATGACATGAAACTGATCACAATAGATGTGTTTGGTTCATTCTTTACTTTCTGACGAAATTTAAGACCCAAGTTATTTCTAACTGATTTGGTAATTTCGTTTTCGTGAATTATATTTTACATGTTTAAATTTTCATTATTTTCTATATCATTTCTAGCATATCGCTTCTCATGGTGTTGATTTTCCTTGCTTTACTAATATAAAGTGTGGGAACTAAGATCAAGGCATATTTTCTCCAGGTGTTACGTTGATAACAAAATGCTAGTTGTAGGTTTGAACCCGTTGCTTTATGCATTTACGTACGTACTGAACGTTAACATATCAACGGCGAACAAAAAGACCGTATGTTTCACCCAAATCAGTTGTCCCTTTAGCTTGATAGTAGTCATGCTACCAGGTTGCTGACGCTACCATTAATCTAGTTTACTTGTTAAGTAGTTGAAGATACGTCTTTCCACATGACTAACCAATACGAAGATATATCCACTCACATAGTTCTAACAGCAATGCAAACCATTTAGTTCACAATCGTATTTCTTCCTAACTTCCTAATATTTCTTCTGCCCTCAATGTTGACCCCTCTTGTTTGTGCGTTGTTTAACTAAACTGGACAACAAGAACTCAAAAGGACAGAGACACTAAATGTTGTCTCCGTCTACATACACACTAACTGTAGTTCGGATGAAAATATAAGTTTCACAGAGTTTTCTAGCTCTCAGAGGCATAAGCCATTAAAGGTAGTCAGTTGCAACGTATAACTTCGTATGTAAGTACATCAGTTCAGGTTGCCATACCACATTAGCACAGAGACGACGCAATTATCAATTCAAATCCATAGTGGTAGAGATAGTAGAAATACTACAGGTAATGGAGAAGATTAGGGTTCCAAGATATTATTCAAGTGGTAGTCGTAGCCCTAAATAGGTCGTCTAAACCAAACTAGAAAGCATCCAAGTCTTAGTGTGTTCCAACTCAGAGAATGAACAGATGATCGCCTGCTACAACCAACAGCATATTTTTAGCAACTCCTAAATAAGCGGATATCATCTGACACGGCAATCCCCTTTGGCTCCCAATGAATTTAAAAAGGATATGGTTAATCTAAACCAAGAGGAAGTGACAGTTCTTGATGTGTAAAATATCAGGGTTTTCAAGAACAGGGTTTTAGTTTCAGTAGTTTGAGTGAGATAGTAGTTAGGATCTAGGAACTGTACGTAATTTTACCTGCTTTCAATTGCTGGCCACCTCATTTCATGAAAATAGGAATCCTTTTGTGGTAAATAGGTGCATTAGTTTGACTAATACCATCTAAATATTATTTTCAACTATTACTCGATGCTTAACTAGAGCTCGCAAACAGCATGTCCAATAAAACCAGGATGCTTTTAAACCTGGACATAGATATACGGACCAAGTATCTCCCTTTCATAAGGTTTCATAAAATAGACCTACCTACTGATGCCCGACTATAGCCGTATTTATTGATCGTAAGGCAACCTTTGACTAGTTTGACCGGAAATTTGTGATGATTGTTGTAATTGAAAAGCATGTTAAAGAAGTATGTAAGCCTTGTGAAGGCTCTTAGACACTTCTGGCAAGGTCAAAAGCTTAGGATCAGGTGACACCCATCAGGATTTATTGCTTCATTTCTATGTGAGATAACGCTCTGTGCCAGGGTATTTCTAATGATTTTTTATCACGAGACAAACGAGTAATTGGTTTTAAAACTCGATTCAAGTAAGTGTATGATGACTTGTCTCAAACTAAACTATCTGATGCACATATCTGGTATCTGTGTGCAAAGAAAGATATAAAAACTGATCTATGTAATCACTAGATACACAAATCGTTATACACCGGGTGTTCGAGTTAATCTCTTTAACAACACTGTGAGATCGACCTACACTATTTGGTTAACATCGAAGAATAAACATCTTACTTCCGAGAAAACTAATTTGCGGACTGCCGGTGCTTTATAGTAGGTAGAGCAAAACATTGTTCATCAGCCTAATTACAATGAACCAGTACACACTGAAGAAAAGACTCTCCAAGAGATATGGTGCAGAAAACGATTATCATCTTCATTCAGTTATCAGAATAATTCCTTTAAATGACTTTTAGTATTTATCTTTAAACTCGGTGAAAAACGATTACGTGTCAGAACTTGAGAAGAGTTAGAATAGAAGTTGACGTGTGAGAATAAATAATGGCCACTTAACAGAAAATATCTGTTCTAGTTAGAGTTTTGTTAGCAAGTTGGTTTTCTACAGGATTGGGTCGTTAACCTCATGCCCAAACCCTTCTCTTTTATCAGAGCTTGCGAATGGCAGTAACCTCGGAAGAGCTCCAGGTAGAGTAAAATATAAATTGGGGTTTAAGTAAGTGTATTTATTTAAGCTACTAAACTTTTCGTTACGGAGGATAATGAAAATGATGGTAGTCGAAAAAATATTATTAATCGGGTTATAAAAATACAGATGATTGATTAAATCAAAGAATGAGGGGTGATTAGTTACAAAGAGGTAAAAAAAGAACTGGTCTATTCTAACCATTATATGTGCTTAAATTTGGCTACCTTATATACATCAACCAAAAATCCTAGTAAAGGAGAAGATGGATTTTCAGTTACAAAGGACTCCTAATGACACTTTGAAAAGTAAAAAAAAAGTTTAATAATAAAACCGTTAGATCTAATTACCAAATCTGTTGTAATTTAGTCAATGAAGCTTAACAAAACCCACAATTTAATCACTAGAGTCATAATTTCGTCTTAAGAGTGTTTTGAAATGAAAATCGCCAGAAACTGGAGGCATCTAGAATCCAAGAAGCTTTCATGGTTATGCAAAACATGCTACATAATACCTAGTAGAAAGCCCCGAGCATCTATCGATGAAAGGCTAATGTCAAACTAAGAAAAGTAATTCTTGTTTACAGTGAAGAAACATTTAATACTAAATTGAAAGACTACTTTTCTTCCATGAGGTGAGGATTATGGAATAATAGATTTTAACATGTGTTTATATATTATAAAATCCGGGATTTTAATTTTCAACATAAGAAACAGTTAAACTTGATAACATCAGTTGCTTTGAAAGCTATGACCAAGAAAAGCAAAAAGTGTACTCTTTATAAGTGTGTACTGTTTATAAATAACTGTTATGAAGAACGATAGGGAAGTAGAAATCTACAGTTCACCTTCTAGTGATCCCGAAATAACTTTGCAATGCTACAGTAACTTAGTAAATGTAAGTAGTATGAGTTAACGTTATTATCACGAAGCGTTAGCAACTATGCCATCTGGATGAGTAAATTTCCTTATTGGAAAAATCCAGACCTTCTCTCGGTTTTAACACCCAGAAATGTTTGTTAAAAATAATCGCCTCATTATACGCAACTTTACTGATCGGAAAGTAAAAGTTGGTAGCGATTATTTTTTTAATACAAATTATAACAGCCCTAACCAGTAGAATTATTGTACACCGTATTATTCAAGATATTACGCAACCTATATATCCAACAAAGAGAGTGATGTAGTGGAATAAACTGAAAAGTATACAACTACCTCTCAGTATTATTAGTTCAGTGAGAGAGCTTCGTATACAGATAAACGTTAGAAACTTCCAAAATTTCAAAACTCTACCTGAATCAAAAGCCCACCATTTTCAAAAGTTCAACCACTATTAAATACAAAATTTAATTCCGTCAAAGGTAACTAACATACCAATAGAATTATTTGATCGATCTATTTGTGAATATACTCTTTAAAAGCTTAATAAATAGTTTAGGGTTTGTAGGTTTTGAAAAAATGCGACCATTTAACACAATAGGTTCTTCTGCACCAGCCATCATCAAATCATTCCGATATTCAACAACCTTTTCACGAGCTAGTATGAATCGGTTGATTTCTTTGCGCCCCATTATTCTTCTCACCGTACGGTTACACGTATCTGATGGTTTTCAATGGATGGCGGTCCAGCCACTCGACTGCATTTATTCTAGTCAGTTGATAGTGGTTTGAGTTTGTTTGTCCCGTGAGAGAGAATAATCCCAAGTGCTGGAGTCTATCTTTGTAAGTTTTATTCTTCAATCCGATCACCCGTTTCATGACTCGTCTCCGTACTCATTCTTGGAGATTTATGTCTCTTTTAAGGAGAAGGGTCGACGACTTTGTGAACCTCAAGGCATGTGTGTATGTTCTAAACAACGTTAAGAATAATTCCTGGGGTGATAGCACCAAGTTGTCTTCGCATAAAGTGAAGAGTTTTGTTAGCTTTGGTTGCGTCCCATGGGTAGTTCCAACCGGTGTCTAGGCTTTCAGTGGTTATTAGACCGAGAGGGAGCGGACTCCCATCAAGCGCGTAATTGGCTTGTATCACGTTAGGCAGAATGTCCACAACTCGATATTTCGACCGGTTAAGATTGAAATCATTTGTTACTGCCCACTCCCCAATATATGTAAGGTCCTTTTGAATCTCAGTTGAATCCTCTTCGCGTCTAATGGACCTTCAGATTTTTTCATCCTCTGCGTAGATCAGCGCCGCGGAGCTAACTTTGTCTAACACATCACTGACAAACACCAGAAAGAGATCTGAGATGGTCCTCTGTGAAACTGTCGATGCTGAAACTCGCCAAATCTCTTGCTCTCTATTTACCCTGACGAGAACCTGTCTATTCTCAGGGTAGTGTCTGAGCCGAGATAGAAGTGGGTCAGTGAAGCCTCTTTCCTCAAACTTCGCAATTGGGAGTGAGCGGGCTGCTGCCTCTATGTCTTTTGCAAAGTCAAAAAAGATTATGTGAACCGGTATTTTTCGACCCTAGCAAGTTGTCTACCTGTCCCATGCACATGATCTGTCTTTGCAAAACCCGTGTTGAGCTCATGCAGGATTTTTTTCTTATACATGTACTCTCTCATTTGCCCATTAACCAGCCCTTCCTTTGCCTTCGAAACTAGTGGTAGTAATGTGACTGGTCTGTAAGAGGCTGGGTCCTTCCTTACCCTCCTTTAAAGATTGCATAAACAGTAATTTGTTCCTATCCACCTGGGAGATAATTATGACTCCAGTGAATCCCTGAAACGATCACATCGGTGAACTGAGGGCTTCTGTACACTTTTTCAAGACTATATGATGAACACTGTCATACCCTGGTGACTTTCAAGGTGTAAGGATTTTAGTTTCCTTAGTACTTGGTCAAGAGTAAGTCGAATATGTCCTAGGCCATCAGGTAGCATTAGGTCTAAATAGTACTCTGAACGAGTGGGAGCTCGGTTTAACTGGTCGGTGAAGTTGGTGCTGAAGATCTCAGCGAAATCTAGGTTGATAAGACCCTCACTATTCGGACCTTTGACAGCACAAACACCCTGGTTTGTAGGCTTCCTTTTATTCATCAGTCTAAAAAGATGCTGAGGGTTTGTCGGTATTTTGGTTGCTAACTTCATCTGGGAGTATCTGCTATCATTTCGAACTCAGGCATAACTTCTGTTTCTCATTCCAAGTAAGAACTACGTCGGAATCCTTCAGAATGACATTCTATTTGCACTGTGCTCCCCTATTCTTCTGTAGCAAGCGTTCAGTGCCTCGTTTAACCCAAGTTCTTCTTTTTCCATGTGTGCGGTATGCCTGACGTACATTGTTTAAGGCAGCGTTCTATATGATATCTCTTATCGATTGCCAGTGATCATCTACTGTTAGCCTTAAGCATGTAGAAGAAGCTCCCTCATGTGCGTGCCACTCGCTCTAGTGTAGCAAAGGTAGGGCTCGTTCTCGTCCATGATCATGTTTAGTGAAATAGTGTCATGGTCACTACTTCCTACTGATGTATGGACGCGAACATCCTGGACTAGGAGCTGATCATTTATTAACAAGTAATCCAAATTTGAGGGTTTTCCATCCAGTGGCGCTCATGGTCAGTCAGCCCATAACTTTTAATGGCTACGCCAAGTCGTTTATGGAACCGACCAGTGAGAGTTGCATCACTGAGCTTGTTACCAGTGAGACGTATGAAAGGATAGATTTTATTTTCTTGAGGCCTGTAAAGTCAGTTTTTCTCGAGTGATAAAGGAAAGGAGGTAGTTTGTAAATATGCATCGTATGTTCTCAAGTTGGCCGAAATATATGAAGTACTCTATCTAGGAGACTGTCTTAAGTTCCTGTGAAAGACTTTTCCGGAAAACGCCTATGACTGTAAGTTTTACTTCAATGAAATGCAAATCCTGGGTATAACGAAAAAAACTCTGAAAATCGTTCTGCAGTGCATTATTGGTTCTTTGCTCATTAACCGTTTTAGCTTTTGCCCAGTAGTGTTATAACCACCTTTTATGATTCCCCTATTATTTAATTTTGCTATCGCTTGTAGCTGAGCTATCAGGGTCGTGTTTGTCTAAGCTCAAGGTTACAGCATAATTTTTTGATGATACCTTACCTTTCAGTGCCTGATGGTAACTGATCCTAGAATATTTGTGAGTGGATACTTGATCCAACCATGTTAGGGATTTTATCTTAAATTCTCAGCAGGTTGTTTTTGCCAGCGAGACATTTCGTTATGAAGTATGGGCTGTACCGTGTGAAATTTGTTGTTTAATCATGATATGATTTGTCACCTTTCGTGAATTAAACACCATCTTAGTGAGTTTATGTTTTGAAACCATTTAATACCAGCAATTCAAAAACGCTTTGTACGCTATGCGGAAGAATGAAGCTTGGTCTAAGCCAGCTAACCATGGTTTGTTAGCTCTGATTTCTGATCAAGTACTAGAACGTTTCCATTGAATTCAATGTGTCAAACTAAGAGCATAGCAGAGTGAAATTGGATTAACAATGTACAATAATAAAAACTAGTTCCGACTAGACAACCGGAGATAAAAGGCATCATTCGGGATGAACTGAGTGTGAGATTATTTCCCACGATTTTTGAAAGGTTAACAGAAAAATTATATTGGTTAATTCACAATCAACCGATTGAACTCATTGTGTTTAAAAATACAAGGCTCCTTTTTTACGTGGTATCAGAACAAAGTTTCCGAATGTGTGTTACAAGCAACAGCTCCTACTGCTGTAGGTCTAAAAATTAAGAAAATGAAAAAATCCTTAGATATAATATATCATGCACCTACCAAACCACATTCGACGGAGAGGTTCTACGATGGGCCGAGATGTTTACATATTTCAGCAGCACCATTGATAGACAATGTATCTCTGATGCAGATGTGAAAGACTGTCGACCAAAGCAACAACAGCGTTTCTCCAATTCAAAGACATCTGCAACTCAGAACGGTCTGCAAGCCGAGACTAGGGTCATAGATTGTAACGAGTAAGTCAACGATATTGGATTGCACGGAGAAGAAACTAGGAGAATCAAGAAAGCCATTATCCACTAGATATAGGTGTTTATCAACCAATGTCTGACACCATCAGCAGGAACCTAAAATGGGCGAGAGTAAACCGTGTTTCAGATGTGAAAGAACTTAGAGAAAAGCGCTCAAAGTGGATACGACAAAAACTGAGTAAATCATCCAAGGGCATTAATAGGCTAGCCATAACTTGGAATCCTCAAAACCAAAGGAAAAGAGGTAGACCAAGGAACACATAACGCCGAGAATCGGAAGCAGACGCCAAAAAAACGAACAGCGATTGTGTAGAACTGAAAGGGAAGGTAAAGTTTAGAGTTGGTTAAGAAGCGCTGGTCGGAAACCTACGCTGCACAAGGCGTTACAGTTGTATGTAATTAAGTGCTCAATACTAAGTCACTAGACAATAGCTCCCAAGATTAATTGTTCTCACATACATTATTGTTCATTCAGTGATTTATTGGTCTAAGGGCGTAGACGTAGACGGCTGAGAAAACTAGAAAGTGTTGCCACTTCACTACCGCGGTAAATGAGCCTAAAATATTTACACACCCAAGTAGGTTAGCTCTTTCCTCCTAAAAGACCTCAGCGAGCCTACGATAAACAGTAGCCTAAACCGTTTTCAAGGGTCAACTAGTGACTGTTTTTGGTCAGTCAGATTTCCGGCCAACATAAAGCTTAGGTATTATATTGCCTTAAGCAGTAAGATCGCATAACCTGATGATTTCAAAAATAATTGATAGGACTCTTTCGAAACGTTTCCTGACAGCTAATCAGTAACCGTTGTCTGCCCAGGCTAGTTATCTTAAGCGTATGTCATTCCTTTCTGTCACTATTCATTAGGGCTACCAGCGAATAACCACAAAGTAATATGGCTAAGAGCAAGTAAATCAACATTCTGCATAGAGTATAAGCACCGTCAGTATTATATATTTATTTAGTCGAGAGAAAAAGTCTTTATTTTTCCTATTGTCAACACCTGAAGGCCATTTCGATCCAAAAATCCACTATCTCCATAACAGAACACGACACTGTTCACCATTTACGCAGCACACAGGCTTATAAAAATATTTTCATCAGCCAGCATAATATTCGAATACGTTTATCTTCTTAAAATTACTATTTGCTATTTATACGATCAAAGGTATGAGGAAAGAAATACGTTTCCTTGTTTTATTGACTTGTAGTGAATTTGAAACTACTATTCGCGAGAATACCAAGTAAAATCCCGTTAAATCCAGAAATCAGAAGGAAGACTATGACTAGATGACGAGATGTGTTGATTCGTGGTCTCACGACATCGAAATGATATCCAAACCGGAATAAAGAAGCAGCCAATAACCACCGAGGGTTAACGAGGAATGGGAGTAACACACCTGGTGCGTGAGTTACGGTCTTCAGTACAGTTGAACAAAAAGGAGTACAATGGAACAGTTACAGTTATAATTGTTTACAATATTGAGTGTTTCCATTTCAGCAATTGTGTTCCCTTCGTAAAAGTATACCACTACAGTAGCCCTCCCCAGAAAGTGTTTACACTTTTGATACTTAGGGGCTTCGTGCGGAAGGGGGGGCTGGTCGGCAAGTAGGCGATTGTAGGGTGGAAGGGTTGACGAACAAGAAGCGACTAACGAAGCTCGAGTTGTCACCGAAAGTCTTCTACATTTAATTTTATCAGTAGTAACGTGCCAGGTTTTCTGCTCGAGTTCGCATGCCACACCAGCGTGGTTCGTATCCAGAGTCTGAAGATTGCGTTCACGAGGGTCCGAGCCAGACTTAGGACGGAACCAGATTGATCGATGTAGTCAGAAACAACCTGAATGAACAAGTTCAAAACCATACGTATGCTAGATATATTCGGGACCAGAACATCGACTGAGTGCATTGACAAGAGCGTGGGTGATCAGGTCAGCTTTCACCGAGATTGTAATAACGAAACCCAAGATAAACAGAGTTTCAGATGTGCATATTTTATGAATTAGTTTCGAGAAAGAGGTGATGAGAAATGGACACGAAGCAACATAGAACTAATAGGGCACTTAATAAAGAATAGGTGACGCAGTATTTATATGAAGTGAATAACAGATAAAACATTACAGTATAGACCATGGATATATGAAACACACAAGTCAAACTGACGTAAACGTACAATCTTTTTTGAATGTTTTGTTTTTTGGAAAATCCCTCCATGTATATATATTTGTGTTATGATATGACTGACTCTTTCTGTTCACATTTTGGTACTCCATTTCATTCCATTTTGAGATTTTACCATTGTATATTGTTATTATTTCTATATCTTGTACTTATATTGAAGTCTTTATGTTTGCTTCTGAACTGTAGATATGCTGTTTAAACTTGATATTTAATATGGCTACAGCCATATTTGGATTTGATACCTCAACATTACGGACTGGAAGCACTTATTCTTCCAGAAACGGATACCCACCGCGGTAAATTGGATTTAGAAGGTGTAATATTGTTGGGTAATTGTCTGTATTTCCATTTTATATTAAATAAAGACCATTTTCTCCCAGAATTATTGTGTTTTTGGTATCGGATATGGGCCAGCGCCTACCAACCTGCACCTATTTGAGCCGGAGTGAACTGCTAGGGTAGAAAATTCATTTATAGTCCAACAATAAAGAAGAAAAAAGAAACATTTGGAATTTTCATCGTTTACAATCTCAAACTTCCTGGAAGAAGAACTTTTGGATTACTTATCTTTAGCTTTGTTCAAACTGTATTTTGGAAAACGATCTTTTGATCTTTTTGGATTTTTCATTGACGAAGAAGATTTACCGGTGAAAATTTTATATTTTGTCTTTGTTACTTACTTTCCGTTGAATTCCAATTGATTATGAGTTCTTGAAAGAAATCAAACACGAAGAGGGTTGAAGCCCATGAAGAATCCCGGAATGTAAGGCAAGTTGTTTATGATACTTCATGTTCAAAGGGTTCACTCTCTACTAAGGATGATATTATGCTTGGTACTTATTATTGTAAGTCACCATTATAAAGTACTAAGGGACAAGGTTTGGACGAGAACTTTGAGGTACCTGGGAAAGATTTGATGTTTAGGACACCGGTAGTTGGCTTAGAATTGCCAAAGGTTGAACTCCTCTTCTTCGATGGTAAACACCGTGATTACTTTAGATTTGTAAGGCAATTTGAAACGTTTATAGAACCCAGAGTAATGGATGATAATCTGCGTTTATTGTATTTAATTCATTACTGTAAGGGGAAGGCAAGAAATGCGATTGAAGGATGCCTTATAATGGAACCCCATGTTGGATATAAAAGAGCTAAGGCGTTTTTAAAGCAGCTCTTCGAACAATCGCATGTAATAGCTCGTGAAACTCTGGATGACTTGTTTAGAACTGGGGATGCGGATTACAAAGACCCAGAACAATTGTCGAATCTGGCAATTAAGATGCAGAACTTTGCTCTAACTGTGGAACAATTAAATTGTATAGCGGAACTAAATTCTTTAGTAACATTAGAGCAAATAGTTAGGCTCTTACCTCATTGAATGCAAGTCCAATGTGCAGAGCTGGGAATTAAGTGGGACGAAGAGGAAAGAGAGCCTACTTTCAATGAATTGACTGACTTTATTATGTCTCGTGCTCGGATAGCTAGTAGTAGATTCTGAAGATTAGCTAATCCTAGGTCCATGAGATTCTCATTTCACCAGTGCTTTTCGTGCTTGTTTGAATAACATCAGTGCTACCTCTTATGCTAATGGAGCTTTTTCTTTTTCATGGCCGTAGTATAACTTTAACTCTCTTTATCAAATCTGTGTACAATATGTTCCACTGATTCCATGTACCACCATTTTGTACCATTGCATTTCTGCAGCAACCTAAATGGCTCTCCTGGTCTTACAGAATGTACTTACCTGCAGGTATCTAAAGTAATGGTCATTCTAGTTGTCGTAAAGGGTATCAGCCTCGAGACTTCCTAAGAAACTCGGTGTGACATCACAACTCTTCTAAATGAAGACCTTCTAACTGCCAGAGAAGAGTTTAAATGGTTTGAATTATTTTTTCTGGTTAGCATTTTTAGCGAGTCGGATTTCCAAGACATGTGGTCGCCAATCCCTTTCCCAATTTCTCATTTATCCGGGCTTGAAACCAAATGTATCTCCAGAGGGGCTCCAGGCAGAGTCAACTTATAACTTCAGAGTAACATATTTTTGATAATGTCAAAGTTTGTGGAAGGGATGGTCAGAAACAGAGAGTTCCAGTACATGTAGTGCTCTTTGACTTTGCAGAGAAACTGACACAGTATCACTCTAATTTCTTGTAAGGAGTGTCAAAAAGTTGGGCTTCACTGACTGGTTTCTCCCACACAGCAGAAAGTACTTGGATAACAGAACGTTTCGCATCCAGGTAAACAAAGGACACCCGAAAGTATTGCCATAACACCCAAAGCCCCACAAAATACAATCTAAGAGCCCTTTCTTCTCGGGATTTCCACAAATAGTCTTCTGGATGAAATCATCCTATATTTATGACGTCATGATTTCAAGGTTCTCAATATGTACGGATGATACTGTCAAGCAACGAAAACAATCGTGTTTCCTGGGGATTAAGCGAATGACAAAGATCGAAAATCCAACCTGCTAAATACCACATTATGAACAGTCGACCACAGAAACAGCTTATATCCTTCGATGTTATCGCTTCCGATCACGTGCCTACGGTGTAACTGAGGTCCATTAATAACATAGGGTTTGGAGATCCATTTAACCATACTAAAGATGTAATCAAAACATGAAAAATTTCACTTTAAACGAGGAAAGTTTTCCACTGCATAACACTTTCTGTTACTGTTATCAAATCCATTTTCTCGAGAGTTCTATAATTGTTACTACTTCTGTTTTAAAGGGGTATGTCTCTTAGCATTAGTGAGTTGAAAAGCAACAGATTATAGAACCCTATGAATATGGAATTCGTAACTTCAGATTATACCCTGAAGAATGTAGAATAATAAGAGGTAATCTGATAATTGCATGCGAAATTCTAAAATCATCATGTCATTCGAACAAAAGCATACTAGCTTAAAAATTCTAGAATTCATTTTTTTAAAGTAACCCTGTGGTGCGATCTACTTATAAGTAGTATATGACGTGAGTGTCAACGTAATGTCTGGCACCAGAAGATGGGGGAAGATCAAGAAAGGAAGAGTTAGTTAGAACACAATGGAATTTGTATGAAACGCATGAATAGTGAGTGACAATGGATTGATGTTTTGCAACAGGAACAGTCCAGTTCGATAGGATGAACTGATATTTTGCGAATTAACGATTTACGATATGGTTTTCCGATTTTACTGAGTAACTCTGTAATTTTCGTTAAATACAATCCGGTTGCCCTCACCGGTGTTCTCGTTCACTACAACCCTACAAAAGATTGAACATAAATGATTGAATGGCTAGATGACATCACACGATTTCTAATTAGTGGTTAACCCCGTCTTGAATCTTCTTCCAGCTGACATGAAAGTCCGAAGTAGAGGATTAAAAATTATGTACTAAGAAATGGTTGGCAGTTTTCTTATCGTTATAGTGGTGAAGAAAACGTGATTGGTTTAGTAGAAACACTGATTGTTGAAATGTACGTTTTGTCTATTTCACAATGTACGCGCAACCTTTCTGTCTGTGTTGCTGCCATTTTGGCCCTACCGTCTCTGTAAATTCGCCCATCTTTTTTGGAACGATTTCGGCATTCTTTCAATACCACGAAATCGCCAACAAACATATTCTTCACTATGGAATAACTTATCTTCTTTATGACTGGCTCGTAATTAGTATGTACGATTCGATCGCAACTAAAGAATAAAACGCCAATGTTTAAATAAATAAATATATATAATTTTGTTCTCGAATGTGGCCTTCTTTTTCGATTCAAAATAAGCAATTTTCAATCATGAGAAAATTTCGTTTAATCATCTTCAACTTCCTTTCCAGAATCCTTTACATATGGTCTCCCATCATCAGCTCTAAAGGATAATGAAAGAAATAGGATCATAAAAAATCGATCAAACATTATTTTTTTTCACAAATTCAAATAATGGTTAGATCATTTTCAGACCACCATTAGAAATCTGGAAGCACTGGACAGTTGTTTTGTACTGGTATGGAAATCTGTTATGAAAAACCATAAAACTGTGTTCACTAGCTGTGTGAGGAAATTGTCAAATTTCTAGTGAAAAGCTGTGATCAGTGGTGATCAGTCCTGTTGGGTGTGAAGCAGTGCTCGACGAAGACAGTGGATGAGGTTGTACAATGCCTTGGTTTGAATAGTGTTAGACATTAACACCAATGGATATGGAATTAGTGGTCTAGAAGTTAAGAGTTCATGGGTTCAATTCCCAAGAGCCTGGATCATGAATGTACACTAGTGATGAGTCCAAACATCAAAGTGTAATTAAGAAGATCCATTTTACATAAAAACGTTTTTCTTTACCAATATAAGTTCAATTTATTTTATACTTTATTGATATACTACTGAAATTATGAATTAAGTAGTCAAGTAAATACTAACATAACTTACCCTGGAGCATAATTACACACGACCATATATTTATTACCACATTTATTTGAACCACAACCGATTTCTGTTGTATTAGACCAAACTATCTATATTGATATTCAATGATCAATACAGTACAAAAATGTTCAAAATTCAACATGAAAACATTTAAATCGTATATACATATGGTAGGATTAATCAACGATGATCAGTTACAATTTCATCCACTCACTGCTCGATAAAATTTCTAGAATGTCGATGTGGCATAAAGTGATTGAATGATGACGTAACATCAATCTTTTGGTATTGGATTCTTTTATTTGCTGTTCTCATTCCGTACAAAAATACTATAAATGCACGCAGTTTCTCTGCACACTTACCCCTTCTGCCTGTCTCAGATTTTTGGTTTGCTACTTGAATGAGATTCTACTTGTTCAAAAACGTTGACAGGCGGAGGTACTCATCACTCTACAATTGAGGCCGAATTGAAACATGGCACAAATCTATGAAGTCACTTACAACTGGACTGAGTCATGTTGGTAAGTGTAGGCTACCAGGTTTGAGTCAACGAGATGATAGTTATCAATGGTTAGAGACCCTGAATGACATGGCTCAAAACCATTCGCAATGACGTAGGTGCATTCTTTCTTTGTGTTCTGTCAAATTCTAATCTTCTGAATTCCGCATCACCCTTATCTTTTTATTTTCAAGTTCATTTCGCTAGATTATACTTCTTGAATAATATCTTCAAACCTTAATCTCTCCGATTACTGCTAATACACTTCTTCTACCTCTACTACTTTGGGATTTGAATTGACAATTGCGTCTCTGTTCTAATGTGCTAAGGCAACTTGAACTGCTGTATGTACGTACGAAATTCTATGTTGTAGCAAACCGAGTGACTGTCTGTAACTTTGACAAGGATGTTAGGTTAAAGATCTTAATACTTGAAAGTTACAGTCAAGGATTAGATTATAAACTTTAGAGGTTTCAGTTTAATAGGGGCTAACTGTGCCAACTTAATCTTGTCTGTGAAACATGTCCTATCATTTTATACTCACATTCACATCTGAAGTCCTCCAAAAATCACCGCAGTTCAAACAATCCAAAATATGAAATCTAATCAAATATGCGGCTTTGATCAATAAATTACGATCAATGATGCCTTGAATTTGCTCCAATATGGTATTATTCTGAATACTGACATGAGGAAACCTTTGAGTTGGAAAGTTTCATAAGAATATTCTAGAATCATGAACTGATATTAGCTATCAAGGAGAGCCATAAAAACACTGAACACCTTCTTCGTCTTAGGAAAAGGCACCTCAGAAGTTCATATCTACTATCCCATCACACGCAATCTAACCCAAGACCTTTGTCTTCGAGTATCAATGCTAAATCAGCGGAGATGTGGCTGTGCACCACAGATAAGTACAATACTATTCAGTACTTTTCAATTTTCAATGGTTAGTTGATATCTTTTTTTAAAATTTAAACTATGAACATGTTACATACAATCTTCATTCAAACTCTATACACAACATCAACATACTTGCTTATAATTTCCACATTCATTGTTACATGTGTTCTTGTCAAAATCATATTCATTTTTCTCTTCCAGCCAAGTATCTAATATGCTGTAATTGAGAAAAAAAAGTATAATGATACAACAAGTGTTTGAATAAAGCATCATTGACAATCAAGATGGCTCCAATGCAGATGTGAGGGCGCTGATCGATAAAGCAAGGGCTGCATTTCTATAGCTGAAAAATATCTGGAACTCCAAACAAATATCAATCAACGCGAAAATCAAGATATTCAATACAAATATCAAGACAGTTATACTGTATGGAGCGGAAACTTGGAGAACAGTTGTCTACGCAAAATACTTCGTATTCGTTGGCCAGACACACCGTCAGCAACAACTTACTGTGGGAGAGAACAAACCAGATTCCAGTGGAGGAGGAAATCAGGAAGAAGCGGTGGAAGTGGATAGGACACATTTCGGAAAGCACCCAAATGAACCAAAAGACAAGGCCAAAGAACACATTACGCCGAGAATTAGAGAAAGATATGAGAGGAATGAACAACTAGAACCAGAAAGAGAACCCTAGGACAGAGTAGAGTGGAGAACACCGGTCGGTAGCCTATGCTTTATTGGGGGTTAAAGGCGTAAGGAAGTAAGCAAATGTATCAGTAAATACTACTATTTGAATTCAACATAGTGAGTTCCAGTCAAGGACGAACGTTAAAAGTGGGATCACTTCATGAGGAATGTACTAGCCAAGTGGCATAACCACTAGCTACACATTTTTGAAACCATGAATCGATCAATGTTAGACCGACATTAGAAACCTGGAAGTACTGGACGGCCGTTTCGTCCCGGTATGGGACTCCTCAAAGGCAGTGCGCATCTACGACTCCTGCACCCCGCAGGACTCGAGCCCAGGACCTCCGGTATCGTGCGCGAACGCTCTAACCGTTAGACCACTGAGCCGGTATCCAACGCTGTTTATGTCTAACTTGATCAAATTCACGGAGTTGCGCAACCTCATACACAGTCTTCGGTAGACATCGCCTACACCCGAACAGGTTGAACTTCACTGGTCACGTCTTCTCACTAGAACTCGGAGAAGATTCCTCACGAAGCTAGTCACCAGTGAGCACAGGTAATTTGCATTACGGGGTTGTGAAGATTGTTAAGTTACACATTTTCGAAACCATGAATCGATCAATGTTAGACCACCATTAGAAACCTGGAAGCACTGGACGGCCGTCCAGCTGTCCCGTAATAACCAATAGCCTCTGATCCTTGAATTCTCCTCCTGATTTATGCATAAAAATGTAACTAATTTCAACAAATAAATCTAAATATATCTCACAGACAATTAATACAACTAACTCATTATCTTACTTTTGTATTGTTGTATGTTCTGCGACAGTTTGTCCAACTGAATCAAATTTACCAACATACAAATCACCAAGATCTCCACTATCAAGAATACATTTTTTCACATGATTTCTAGCTTTCTTAGCTAAAAGTTTATTCCATGTCTTTAAATTAGAAAAAAAAATTAAATCATATTTAGTATTTTGAATAAAATCATTGATCATTGAAACCATAATTGTATACAGTTGTTGCGTAATCTTATGTACGATTTCATGGAGTGAACCAATCAAAAATCACCAAATGATATACATGCACCTGATTGGTTAAAAAGTGACTTTGATTTTATATTAACCATTGATTGGACTAATTTCGTAGTGGGAAATATATAACCTTGTGAAGATTGTTGAGTTTGATTGAAATTATGAATCGATCATTGTTAGATCACCATGAGAAATCTGAAAGGACTGGATGGCCGTTTCGCCTTAGTTTGTGATTCATCAGTAGTCGGCATTCACAACTCCCGCAAGTGAGAATCGAACTCATCAGCTCCGGTTAACGAGCTTGAGAGCTTAACCTCTAGAATTTTGAGCTGGAATCCAACCTTGTTAATGTCTAACTCAAATCAATCTATAGTCTTGCTTGACATCATCCATTATCTTCAGTGGGCGTTGCTTTATACCCGATAGGGTTGGACTCCAGTAGCCCCGACTTCTCACTAGAACTTGGAAAAATTTAGAAATTCAAATTCCTAATGAACATGATGTTCAATTCAGGATTCGAAGCTATTATTATTGGCTTCAAATGACATTGTATCATCCAGCTGACCACTATCTACCTCTAAGAATCATACTTGCAACTTAAAGGGGTATATCGTCTAGGCAATCAATCTACTGGGGGATATACATAAAACTCAGAACAGACTGATTCAATTGCAGTCCTCAATACAAAATAATAAAATGCAAACCATCAATACAAATGAATTAATTAATTATAATCTTGATTAAAAATTACATTTTTCCAACTTTAAACTTACAAGTTTAGGCATCGATTTAGCTTTTGGTTGATTCTGTAAAACACCTTTAAGAACATCTTCACGTATTTTATTATGAAAATTAAAAATGATATTCTTAAAAGATTCTTTAGTATTTACAACGAAAATATTGAATAAGAACAATAAACTTAGTGTTAAAATGAATTTAAACATAATTGGACATTGAACACCATTGAATAAAATGAAGGTTTATATTTATATATAACTTTCTATTTAGTAAAACAAGATAAATATTCATTGATCGTTTTATTCTGACATATATGTGTGTATAGTTGACATATTTATCAATTTCTGTCAAACAATAGTGTGTGTGTGTGTGTGTATGAACTTTTGAAATCAACTTATGATATGGAATAGATCATACTTTGTAAGATTTTATGCTTGCTTACACATAATGAATGTGAGATCCACTTTCTTTTTGGTTGGAAGGCTTTGTTTGTGAAAATCCCTTCATGTTGTATACACATTTGTAATTTGTTTGTCCTTTTGAGATTCCTTCAGGTGTACATTTTTGTTAATCTGTTCAATTCCATTTAGGAGATGATAATATTTGTATTTTTGATTATAGTTTCTATTTCTTTTGTGCCTTCATTGAGTTTCTATGTTTCATTAGGAACTGCGTTTATTTTGGGGCACAGTTTTGGAGGTTTGCGTTTTTACATATTTGAAATCATCAATCAATCGTTGTTAGACCACCATTAGAAACCTGGTAGCACTAGATGGCCGTTTCGTCCTAGTATGGGACTCCTCAGCAGTGCGCATCCACGACTCCTGCTCCTCGCAGGATTCGGAACCGGGACCTTTGGCACTGTAGGCGAACGCCTTACCATCGGACCACTGGACCGGCATCCAACGGTGTTAATGTCTAACTCTGATTGATCTAGGGATTTTGTGCTACCTCACCCATTTGTCTTTGGTAATTACTGCTTACACCCGACAGGGTTGAACTCCATTGGTCACGTCTTCTCAACTAGAACTCCGAGAATTTCCTAGTGAGCACTGTTACGATATTTTGGGGCAGAGTTTTGGAGGTTTGCGTCTTTACACATTTGAAATCATCAACTGCGTTTATGTTGTTTAAGGTGATACTTAGTTATGGCGACAGCCATATTGATTGGTTCCTCTTTTGATTATATCGCTTGCATGGACTGGAATTGCACATTTGGATTGTGAATTGAAGCATTCTTGCAGAATAAGGAGCATTCTATGTTATAAAGCGACCAAATATTATCTGTCGAACGAATCAGATCTATCCAGGAGGAGGGATAGAATAACATTTATGTGTTGCTGTTGGTTTGATTAATTGAACAATTGTTGGTGGAATAACTAAGTGTTAATATTTGTTTAGGTAATGATGTATATATTTATATTTATGATGAATGTTAGAACCGTTATTTATCCAAATCTGAATAGAGAAATAAGAAGACATATTTTGTGAGATAGTAGTACCATTTCGTGCTTTCTCGTCAGTCACATACAAGCAACATGTTATTTGTGTAAATACAACAGTTTTGAAGATAAGGTCAAAATTTTTTTTATTTAGCATGACATTCACTCACTAGAACCATGGTAAACAAAGGTCAACATACAGTTGTTTTCGAACACATTAGATTGGACTTTTCTGAGTAGTTTCAGTGTGTTTGGGTTTTGATGACATGTCACAACTCTATAAAGGCTGATTTTGGGTCAATTTGATGACCACTCATCATTAGATGTCTTGCAATGGACGAGGTTGGGTTTCTTGATCGATTTTGAGATGATGGGCTAGGTGGTGGATGAATCATGGATTTGATTAGCCATTTTGGAATATGTTCCTCTATCCTGTCTTCCAATCACTTGTTTTGAATTTAAACTGAGGCATGGCGCGTATCTAAACTACCTAGACAGTTATTCCTCAGTTCAAACCTCAGTTTAGATCCCACAATGAGTGAATACAGTTTTAACTAAATACGAGGAAAACAAGTTTTCTAAATCAATAGATGTGTTTATCATTACGTAATTGTACATCTGGTTGTTACATAATTGAAAGTGATTGTCGCGATGTGTTGTTACATAACAGCAGTCTACCATGTAAATAGTAAAAATCTTTAGCCTCGAATCTTTGTATTACGAATTTTTATTATGTCCGCCTATTTCAAAGTATTCGTTGTGTAGTGACAGTATTGTTAGGATATTCATCAAATATCCTAAGAGAATTATTCTATGTAAGTCTAATTCTATTTGGGAATTCCTTCCTACTGGTCAATATGATGGTCGTCCTGTTGATATCAATGTCACGTACTCCAATGTTGTTTTCTATTCGACCTAACTGTATAAATACGCATTATCTGTAACGCTTTATGACCCAGACCCGAATCCTTAGTCTGGTGTCCTGAATCACTTATGGACTCGGACCTCATACTTTCTGAATGCTTGTAGAATACAGGTTCTATTTTATATCAAGTCTTCTTATTTTTACTCAATATGGGGTTTGGGAAACAGTCGGATTAGGGTAGACTGTCGTGTCGCCGGATCATCGATCCTCACTCTCGTTTTCTGACTAAGGTAAACACTCGTAATAGTTCAAGCATATCAAATGACATGTTATCGTTCAGGAGTAACAAGTATAATGACAAACTTCATAATATTGTAACAGGTTTATGGAGATGTGAATTTCTTAGTTTCACGACAGAGGCAACCCTTTGTTGTTTTCAGTTTGTGTTTCCCACTTGGAAGGATCCTAAATGTCATTGGTTAGAGTTTCCGTCTAGTAGGCTATTTTGTGACTCATTCAAAGCGATTTTTCTTATCGCATATATTACGTTTGAATTGAGTTATCTGAGCTCAGAGAACGAAACAACACCACAAACGATCCACCTGAGCTACAAATTTTCTCCTCCATCTGCTTATTGAATAACTGTTCTTCCTGATAACTTTGAACTTCTTCATCTAGTCAGCTAAACTGGGGTTCTGAGAAATGGATTAAATCGTCCTGTTATTTTGTTGCTGGTTAGACACTGTTTGCATCTTACCGATGATGTTGGGTTTTTCAACTGATCGACTTCTTTGGGTGTATATGCAGTTTGTGTGGATTGCCCCGATGTTGTCTTGAAGGTACAAGTATTATTAGTACAGGTGGAGAGTGACTAGCACTTGAATCCAGAATGCATATTTCATTATATTTATGGCTCGTTTTCAGCTAGATGTACTAGTATCTCACAGGTGGTGTTTACTTCGCTACTCAAACAAACAAGTAGTTATTCGGACTCAGCGGTTAAGTGGATAAACTGATAGCATTTGAAACGAATGTTACTAGGTTAGAGTACTGGAGTAAACATCAACTCTGGGTTGCAGACACAACTAGCTAACGAGTCCAAAGATAGAACGAAACACACGTCCTAGATTCCTGTGTTTGTCACTACCTACTTCCACAAATAACCCATTGAATGTGCTATGCTTTCTTGAAATGATATTCACTCCTAAATTGGAATCATGAATGAATCATTTTCAGACCACAATTAGAAGTGTGGAAGCACTGGACGGCCGTTTTTTCCTAGTTTGGAACTCATCAGCAGTACGCATCCATGACTACTACCATTCACAGGGTTCGAACCCAGGACCTCTGGTCCTACACGCGGACGCTTAAGCTCCGGTCTACTGAGACGGCATTCAACAGTGTTAATGTCTAACTCTGATCAATCCAAGGTACTGTTCGACCCCACCCATTCTCTTCGGTAGTTACTGCCCACACGTGATAAGTCTAAACTCCATACGTCATGTCTTCTCCCAGAATTTCCTCACGAAGCTAGTCACTAGTGAGCGCAGTTTTTTAATTTTGGCATTTTAGTTTTATGGAGATCGTTGTTTTTACACACTTGAATGCTAGAAACCAAGAAGCACTGGATGGTCTTCTCATCCTGATATGGGCTTCATCAGCAGTGCGCATCCACAACTCCTGCTGCTCGCGGAAATCCAACCCAGGACGCTTAACCTCGCTCGTAAACAATTAATCTCTAGACCACTGAGCTGCCATCCAATGGTGTCAGTGTGTAACTTTATTCAATCCAAGATGTAGAGCAACCTCATTCATTGCCTTCGGTAATTACTGCCTACGGCTGGAAGGGTTGAACTCCATTGGTCAGTTTATTATTCCTAATCTCTCTTACTTACAGTGAATTTTGGTTATCGCCCATTTATGTTGTGATATGTCAAAGTGTCTCAGCATACAAGCCACTTATGTTTGAGAGATACATGATTCGTATAATGGAGGCTGGCTACGTGCGGACTTGTAGACTCGATATGCCGGGCAAAGGAAAAAATGGTGAACCAATAGGAATTTAGCTGCTAACTAAAAGTTTATTCACGTGATTCATATTCTGATTGGTCGATTCTGTCATGTGACCTTGGTCAATGATTTACAGCATATAACAACGTTACAAACCAATCAGTTATCACTTACTTTTCCAAGAGAAAACCTTTTACTGTATGGTCCTAGTTCAAGTAACAGTTGATAAGAGTGATAGGTAGGTACATTTGAGTTCTGTTTTTTCACCGATGACTCTATTCTGACCTCATTACACATACTAGTTAAGTAAATCCATTTTTTTACTTTCTAGAAATTAAAGTATATTTGACAAGTTATTAAGTTTCGGTTTGAACTCAAAAAACGTCAGTTATGATCTAATATCGATCCACTCATCAATGACATTTAATCATTGACTTAAATGAACTAGCTATAAGTAGTATGTCATAATCTCCTGTATAAATATTACTGTTTCATGTACTTTTTCTGAAAAAAAAATTAACTTAATCAACTTAGATAATGTTGAAAATGTTTCTAGTTATCTGTTTATTATGCTGTCTGTTCACATTTCAATATGTGGAAACTAAATTATCCAAAGGAGAAAAGCTAATCTATGAATTTCATAGAAAAGTTCGTGAAGCTGTAGAAAATTGTCAAATTCCTGGTCAACCACCAGCTAAAAAATTGGAAAATTTAGTAAGTTGAAATGTTTACTATCTGAAAAATAGAGTTTATGTATAACGGACTTGTAAGATTTAATTAAGTGGCCATAGACAGATTTTATGACCATTTGACATGTTTATGCAGTGTGCTAATAACACTTTAGAGTAAGTAGCCAAAGGTGTAACTTCGATTTGAAAAGAAACGATAAAAACATGTCATGAACATAAATTTTTCACTTGACTGCGTAGAATACACCTAGATTAACTCTGTTAGAGCGATAAATAAATATGCATTTGTCTTAGATATTCGTCCCTTCAGATGAACATGAAGAATGAGGGAAAATGAAGTAAAGCGGTGCAGTCAAATGTACCACTGTTTATAAACTAGATAAAAATAATCTAAAGATATGTGGTAAAAATAAGATGAGCCATACACACATATGCTCATATAAGAACAATCAAGTGTTTAACTGAACCATAGGATTGTTCAGTGGTTAGACACTAATTAGGGCACAGTTTTGGAGGTTTTTAGCGTTTTTACACATTTGAAATCATTCATCAATCATCATTGTTAGACCACCATTAGAAACCTGGAAGCACTGGACGGCCGTTTCCTCCTAGTGTGGGACTCCTCAGCAGTGCGCATCCACGACTCCTGCTCCTCGCATGATTCGAACCCGGGACCTTTGGCATTGGCCTTACCATCGGACCACTGGACCGGCATCCAACGGTGTTAATGTTTAACTCTGATTGATCTAGGGATTTTGCGCAATTGTCTTTGGTAGTTACTGCCCACACCCGACAGGGTTGAACTACATTGGTCACGTCTTCTCAACTAGAACTCCGAGAATTTCCTCAGGAAGCTAGTCGTGGATGCGCACTGCTGAGGAGTCTCATACTAGGACGAAACGGCCGTCCAGTGCTTCCAGGTTTCTAATGGTGGTCTAACAATGATGATTGATGAATGATTAGACATTAACACCATTGGATGATGGCTGAGTGGTCTAGAGGTTAGGCGTTTGCACCTTATTCCGAAGTTCTTGGATTGGATTCCTGAGGGTGGGAATTGTAGATGCACAGCTACTGATGTTTCCCATACTAGCACGAAACATCCATCCAATACTTCTAGGTTTCAAATGGTTATCTAAAGATGATTAATTCATAATTTCAATATAAGCAAATCATTGAAAAAGTGTTAGGATTATTCATCAAATATCCTAAGAGAATTATTTTGTAAGTCTAATTCTATTGGTCGATTCCTATTTGTCAATTCCTATTGGTTGTTCTAACTTTCAATGTCACATATTTAAATGTTGTTTCCAATTCGACCTAACTGTATAAATATGCATTATCTGTAACGTTTTATGACCCGAATCCTTAGTCCGGGATCCCTATCATCTTCTGGGCTCGGACCTCGTACTTTCTGGATTCTTGCAGAATACAAGTTCTGCTTCATATCAAAACTTCTTCTTCTATTCAATAGGGGTTTGGGACACTCGGATTAGAGTAGCCTGTCATGTCACCGGATCATCGATCGTCGCTCTCGTTTACCGACCAAAATGAACTTTAAACAGTTCAAGCATATCAAATTGACTTGGTGACATGCGTTCATAACAAACAGCCCAAATCAAAGCCAAAAAACTCTAAATTGGGCAAAAAGTTTTAATGATATAATTTGATCATCAGCTAAACTTCAGTCAATAGAATGGAACTCACCACTCTACATCAACTTCATTGACTACGAGAAAGTATTCGATAGTGTGGATAAGAAAACACTGTGGAGGTTTCTTCAACACTACGGTGTGTCTGAGAAGACAGTTAACATCAAACGGAATTCTTATGATGGATGAAACTGTAAACTCATGCACGGAGGACAGCCAACAGACTCGTTCGAGGTGAAGACCGATGTCAGGCAAGGTCGTCTACTCTCATCCTTTCTCTTTCTCCTGATGATCGACTGGATTATGAAGACGTCGACATCTGGAGGGAAGCACGGTATAAAATGGACAGCCAGGATGGAGATGGATGATCTGGACTTCGCAGATAATCTGGCTCTTCTATCGCACACGCAACAACAAATGCAAGAGAAGACGACCAGTGTAGCAGCAGCCTCTGCAGCAGCAGGTTTCTTCAATGCAACACAACATGTACCAACCAAATCACTCTTGATGGTGATGCCTTGGAGGATGTTAAAACCTTTACATATCTTGGCAGCATCATCGACGAGAAAGGTGGATCCGATGCAGATGTAAAGGTACGGATCGGGAAAGCATGGGTCGCATTACTATAATTGAATAACATCTGCAACTCAAAACAACTGTCAACAAACATCAAAATCACGATTTTCAATACAAATGTCGAGACAGTCATACTGTATAGAGTGGAAACTTGGAGAACTACCAAACCCATCATCCAGAAGATACAAGTGTTTAATAACAGTTGTCCACGCAAAATACTTTGGATTCGTTGGCCAGACACCATCAGCAACAACGTACTGTGGGAGAGAACAAACCAGATTCCAGTGGAGGAGGAAATCAGGAAGAAGCGGTGGAAGTGGATAGGACACACAATACGAAAAGCACCTAACTGCGTCACTAGACAAGCCCTCATTTGGAACCTTGAAGGTGAAAGGAAAAGAGGAAGGCCAAGGAACATATTACGCCGAGAAATAGAGAAAGATATGAGAAGAATGAACAAAAATTGGACAGAACTGGAAGCGGAAGCTGAGAACAAAGTTGGTTGGAGAAAACTGTTTGGGCAGCCTATGCTCCATTGGGGGTAACAGGCGAAAGTAAGCAAGTAAGTAAGTAAGTAAGTATCATCTAAACTTCATCTAATCTGATTTAAACATAATTCTTTCCGACTGTTTTTCTATTTTCCTTGTATCAGAAATGGAATAAACTTCTAGCTGAAAAAGCTAAACAGCAAGCTAAACGATGTAAATATGATTCAAATGATCCGAATGATTTTATTATTGGCGATTTTGAATCAGTTGGACAAAATCTTGCGGATTATCCAACTATTGAAGGGTAAAGATTCTTTAATTGACGACTGATAATGCCTGATTATATAATCCATTTTAAATAGGGCAATGAAAGATTGGTTTGAAGAACATAAATCTTATAATTTTGACAAAAATGAATGTAGTGGAGATTGTAAAAATTATAAACAAGTTTGTGAATTTTGTTTTTTTTTTAACTGATAATAACGATTATTATTATTATTATTATTGTTATATTGAATTTCGTTTTTGAATAGGTTGAGCATGTTATGTATTTACGTACTTGCTTCTATCTGTTACCCCCTTGATGGAGCATAGGACACCGACCAGCGCTCTCTGACCTTCTGTTTTCCTGGACCGACTTTTCCAGTTCTACACAATTCATGTTCATTCTCATCGTGTCTGCTTCCGAATCTTGATTTAATGTGTTCTCTGGTTTCCTTAATTTCTTTTGATATTCAGGATTCCAAGTGAGGGCTTGTTTTGTGAAGCGCAGTGAAGTGCTTTACTCGATGTATGTCCTATCCACCTCCGGCGCTTTTTCCTATTTTGTTCTATACCACAGTAGGTTGGTGTTGTTGATGGTGTCTGGTCAGCGGATCCGAAGTATCTCGTGTAAACAACTGTTTATAAATACCTGTATTTTGTATATGATGGCTTTTGTAGTTCTCCAGCTTTCCACAGCATACAACAGAATTGTCTTAAAACTTGTATTGAGAAATCCAACTTTGGTGTTGATCAATACTTGTTTTGAGTTCTAGATGTTTTTCAATTATAGATTCGCCAATCCGTATCTATACATCGCTATCAGATTCACTATGCTCATCAATAATACTGTAGTAAAGGAGAACATAGGTGAGGGCAACCGAATTGTATTTAACGAAAGTTACAGAGTTAGTTACTCAGTAAAATAGGAAAACCATATCGTTAATCGTTCATTTGCAAAATATCAGTTCATCATATCGAACTGGACTGACTGTTCCTCTCTGGCAAAACATCAATCCATTGTCACTCACTATTCATGCGTTTCATACAAATTCCATTGTGTTCTTCTAACTCTTCCTTTCTTGATCTTCCCTCATCTTCTACTGCTAGACATTACGTTGACGCTCACGTCATATACTACTTATAAGTAGCTCACACCACAATACTACCCAGATATTATAAAGGTTTTAAAATCTTCCAACGCTTCTTCATGAACTGTCATTCGTTTGGTGTATGTTTATATTATATCAGAGAATATTGCTTTTTCGCCCCGTGTATATTAAGACCTACTGCTGTATAGGGGGTTGTCGTCTTCTGCTGCATTTGTGTTTAGATTGAAATTGACATTTTAAGAATAGATAACTATTTGACCAAGTTAATACTCGATGTGTTGTTCAAACAGTCTAGGCGTTTTTCCGGAATATCATATGTACGTAAATACTTCTTCTTATACTAGATTTATAGTCATCCTACTTAGGTGACTATTTATATCCAAATGATTCCCCATATTTCATCAAACTACACAATGTATCCAAAAAAAAAGACTTTTATACTTTTAGACAGATTCCAATTTGAGACAGCCATTTTATCATTTGTATAAATCAATAAAATATTGATTTTTTATTGAGAATTGAACAAACCAAAATGCATATTCTCTCATTTTTTACAGATGGTATGGAATACCACTAAATCCATAGGTTGTGGTTATAGTAAATGTGAAAAGAACTATTTAATTGTGTGTAATTATTCACCTAGGTAAGTGAGTTTTTTTATTTTTGATATGTGTGTGTCGTAATAATTGTTTAAACTAAGGGGAACGTTAGATCCCCACCCCCAGAACTCACTTGATGATGATAAATTGTCCTCATTTTGGATTTTATGCTTTCGAGCATGTGCTGATCAGTTGAGCTTGAGATTAAAGTTTCCCGGCTCGGAAAATCCTTGACTCTCATTGGTTGATGTGTTATTTTAGTACACTAAATTTTTGGTTCTACGAAGGACGTTTCTATCATGCATAAATAAATTCGATTTGTGTGTTTGTGTACCTCGATTTTCTGGTTGCTTGTAGAATACACTTTCTACGCCTTAGCAAGAATTCTTCCTCTACAAAGTGGGGCCTTGGGACGCTCAGATTAGAGTAGCGTATCATGTCACTAGATCATTTGTCTTCTCTGTCGTTTACCGACTAAGATGAACTCGTATTAGTTCAAGCATATCAACTGGTGGCAAGCATGACAGGTATACTCTTCAAGTGTAGATTTAATCTAAGTTAATAGACTTTTCTATTGATTAAGAGTCAACTATGACAAACTATAAAGGGGATACAGATTACAATTCTTTTCAAACTATGATACCAGTTGTCGAAAACTTGACTTGAAACTCCAGTTGGATGGTAATGCAAAGAGAGCCAATCAGAAGCGGCCAAACGACAAGGTCATTGATGACAATTAGACATGTCCTAAAGGACGAATCTATTTCATTGGTTCAGGAATGGACTCATTTTCTAAAGGGTAGAACTGTAATATATATAAATCAGTGACAAAATAAACTTGCTCTTTCACTCTTAGCCTCTTGATCAATTGGTCAGATTAAGAGGAGGTTCAGGACGTAACGCATTAATCAGATCTTGGAAATTGAACATCACAACTCACAAATCGTGATAAATTGTTTGAAATGTAATATTTAACTGTGCTTTTAATTTAATTTTATTTTTTCAGTGACTCCGAAGAAAGACCATATGAGACGAAACCGGAAAGTGAATGTAAAACACCAGAATAGAAAAAACCGATCAAAATCAAAAGTTTGAATCTGATTCATTTTACATTGAAAAATAAATATAACTTTTTAAATGGATAGAATCGATTCGAGTTGTTTCATTTTGAATGCTTATTTAAATTGCATTATGAGGTTGTGAAGATTGTTAAGTGACACATTTTTGAAATCATGAATCAATCAAAGTTAGACCACTATTAGAAAGCTGGAAGCACTCACTGGACGGCCATTTCTTCCTGTTATGTGATTACTCATCAGTGGCAGTGCTCAACCACGACTTCTGCATCTCGAAGCTTTCGAACCCAGGTCCTTTGGTCTTGTGCGCTAACGTCTAACCGCTGGAAATGTAGACGAACAAACTCAGTCAGTCAGATGCAACATAGAACTTTGTACATAAGTACATCAGTTCATGTTGCTATACCACATCAGCGCAGAGATATAATTGTCAATTCAAATCCAATAGAGTAGAACAGGTAGTAAAGGTATTAGAAGTAATCAGAGAGGTTAGGATTAGAAGATATTCAAGAAGTATGATTCAGTGAGAAAAGTTTAGAAAGACAAAACTAGAGGGGTTGAACAATCCAGAAGATTAGGATTTGAGAGAACACAAAGAATAAATGCACCGGCGCCATTGCATACGGTTTTGAGCCATGTCATTCAGGGTATCTAACCATCGATTATTATCATCTCGTGGACCCCAACCAGGTAGTCGACAATCACCGACATGGCTCAGTCCACTCGTCAATGACTTCATGGATTTCTGCCATGTTTTGGTTTGATCGCCCCTAACTATCTTCCAACCTATTCCTACACTACAAAACAAAGCTCGTCAAGGCAGTCGGTGGTTAAGAATTCGTAACACATGTCCAAAACACCTGAACTGATAAAGTTTCATTGCTTCATCTATGGATCTGCCATTCTTACCTAGTACCCGATTCCTAATAACAGCGTTGCTCACTCGGGTGTCCCAGGATATACGAGCACAGTGCTTCGAAGACATCTATGATCGAAAACCAGTAACGTACGAATATCTCCCACTATCACTGGCCATGTTTCACAACCATAAAGTAAGATGGAGCGCTTAATTAGTAAACATTTGACAAATCAGAAGAGGCCCAATAAGAAGACGGTTTGGTGGCCTTCAGAAATGTCCTAGAGCACAAATGCACATCATTGGTCAAGAACTGATTTAATTTCCATGAGGGAAGTAGTAGGTATATACAAATCAGTATTTATATTTATGATTGAGTAGCCATGTAGAGTTATTTAGCGGCCCAGACGAACAGTCGAATGTGCCCGGAATCTGATTTCGATTCGTATGAACAATTATATATGCTATGAGTCAGTCAGTCAGTAAGTCGATTTGTTTCAACGTAGAACTTCGTACGTACGTATAGCTGTTTATGTTGCCGTAGAACATTAGCACAGAGATGCAATTGTCACTCCAACTCCCATAGTATTAGAAGTATTAGGAGTAATCGGAGAGATTAGGGCTCGAGATGTAGATCCAAGAAATAGAATCTAGTTAAATAAACTTAAAAAGAAAAAGATAAAGGTGATGAGGAATTCAGAAGACTAAAATTTCATAGAACACAACGAGGTTCTGCACCTGCTCCATTGCAAACGGTTTTGAGACATGTCATTCAGAGTCTCTAACCATCGATTATTATCGTCTCGTGAACTACAACCAGGTAGTCGACACCTACCAACATGAATCAGTTCACTTGTCAGTGACTTCATAGAATTGTGCCATGTTTTGGTTTGGAAACAACCTGAATATGCTATGAAATAAATATTACAATCAATTTCCTTGTATCATGCTTCAGTGAACCCCGTTTGTGTAATGGCAGTAATAAGGAGCTAAATACGCATTCACTTAGGATGAATTTATTTCATGAAATCGTTCACGCAGACAAACATAAGAATACAAAGGATACAAGTTAAGCTGGACGATATGGAGTAGGCGAGTTAACCAACTCGACATGATGAAGCTTGACTAACTATTGATCGATAAAACTATGCTAGACACGTGATAAGTGAAGCACCCAATGCCACATACGCACTCAAGTGAAAAACAGCAAAGACACCAAACGAATAATTGACAAGATCAAAAGATGTTTGAATAATAACCCTGACAAGAAAGCTTAATTAGTTTATCTAAAAGCTAAGAAAAAGCCTTGCGTGCTCGAGATATATGTACACACACACACACACACACCACATTTTCACTTCGACTCTTACCTACCTGCTTAAATAGGCAGCTTGAAAAGTTAGGATGTATCACGTTTAGATCTGCGACATGGTATATCATAACGACATTCAGAAATGTATCTTTGCTTTCCTGTACTGAATACCCATAAACACATCCTTTTCAATTTTACATTAGATAAAGTTTAATTTCACATAAAAAAATCGATATTTATCATGACAAAACTAGTAACAAATAGTTAATATTTATGAGAGACAAGAGTCAGTTTAATAAAACTTGATAAAAAATTGGCCATTGAACGCATCAGTTCAATGTGAATGAGAGTAAATTAACAGTAGGACAATATTCACTAAAAGTTTGTAGAGATTGTCAAGTTTCTTCATTGAAATGATGAATCAGTCATTGTTATGGACTGTCGTTAGAAACCTGGAACAACCACTGGATGACCATTTCACCATAGTTATGGAACTCCTCAGTGGCATTGCGCATCTACTGGACACTTATCCCAGGAATAACTACTATTCACAAACTCTTCTACAATCATTGCGAAATTAAAAACTGCACAATGATATAAGTGAAGAAGTCGAACATGTAGTCTCATCAGTGCCGATGGCCTGGTGACTGACGAAATCTCAGCTCGGATACAGAAGGCTCGATTGGCTTTTGCCAACCTGCGTCACTTATGGCGTAGGCGAGATATCCGTTTGCTGATTAAAGGACGAGTGTACTGTGCAGTGGTTCGCTCCATCTTACTTTATGGCTGTGAAACATGGCCAGTGAGAGTAGAAGATATTCGTAGGTTACTGGTTTTCGATCATAGTTGTCTTCGAAGCATTGCTCATATATCGTGGGACACCCGAGTGAGCAACACTGTTATTAGGAATCGGGTGCTAGGTAAGAATGGCAGATCAATAGACGCAGCAGTGACACTTCATCAGTTGAGGTGGTTGGGACATGTGTTGCGTATGCCCAACCACCGACCGCCTTGTCGAGCTTCTTTTTGTAGTGTAGGAATAGGTTGGAAGATAGTTAGGGGCGATCAAACCAAAACATGGCAGAAATCCATGAAGTCATTGACGAGTGGACTGAGTCATGTCGGTGATTGTCGACTACCTGGTTGGGGTCCGCGAGATGATAATAATTGATGGTTAGAGACCTTGAATGACATGGCTCAAAATCGTTCGCAATGGCGCCGGTGCATTTATTCTTTGTGTTCTCTCTCAAATCCTAATCTTCTGGGTTCTTCAAAAACTCTAGTTTTGTCTTTCTAAACCTTTCCCACTGAATTATACTTCTTGAATAATATCTTCTAATCCTAACCTCTCCGATTACTTTAAATACCTTAACTACCTCTACTACTATTGGATTTGAATTGACAATTATATCTCTGTGCTGATGTGGTATGGCAACATGAACTGATGTACTTACGTACGAAGTTCTACGTTTTTATCTGACTGATAAGTTTCAATTGTCAATAATCATCGTATTGGAATTCTTTCTAACTGACAAATTCATGTGTCAATTATTGAAAATTCAACTGAACATTGGAATTTAAAAACCAGTCAGTACGCATGATTTTAAACAAGTAATCATCAATTTATCACATTTCAATCAGTCATAAATTCAATTTCCTACTCATTAAGAATATTTATTATACAAATATAAATTTGTTATAATCATTGGTTCATTCAATGTTCAGTTTATTTGAGGAGAAAAAAATACACCAGTAATAGTGATTAATTTGAATAGTTTATGAAACGAAACACGACACATTTATTCGATTACGTTATTTTAACAAAAAATATTGAATGAAAAATGCTTTGGACAATGTTTGAGACACTATGTTTATACTGCGGGAAATGCTTAGCTTCTATGCAGAAACTGATATGCTTGTCAAGTGATATGCTTGAATGCTATTACGAGTTCATCTTAGTCGGTAAACGGAGAGTGAAGACTTATGATGCAATGGCACGATAGGCTACTCTAATCTGTTTGTCCCCGACCCTGCTAAATATATTTAAAAGTTTTGATCAGGCGTAGAAAGTGTATTCTACAAGAATCCAGAAAATATGAGGTTGAAGAGCACAAAATTCGAGTTTATTTATATAGGATAGAAACGTCTTTGGGAGAGCCATAAAATCAGCGTACTGAGATAATGCATCGACCAATGACAGTCAAGGATTTCGCGGGTGGGAAATGTAATCTCAAGGTCAACGGAACAGCCCATGAGCCAAAACTTAAAAATTCAAGGTTAGGGCACTTTTCAAGTGAGTTCTTGGGATCTAACGTCCACAACAGAAACACTGAACAGTAAAATACTTCCCTTCTACTCTCTGCGTTCAAAAATATTTTATCTATCTGAAATGATTTGTTGAGTGTAAATACTTAGAAGAAAGTTGTATTTGTTATTCCGCTGAAATTGTAGAATTTGGAAACAGCACATAATTGTTCGTGTAAAAAATACCGTTTGCATTTGTATGAATGTTGGATAGCTGCCATGAAGATGTGTTTAGGTTGAAAAATTCTTTGAAAAGAAAATTCACAAAATCTCAAGTAGATAAGTAAATTTTTAGGGGAACTGATATATTCTCACCACTTATTCAATTACCTACATCTGTTCGTTAGGGAACATAGGCCGCTGACTAACATTCTCCAATATACTTGTCGTGGGCCCTTGCACGTAAACGCGTCAAACTGATATGCTTGAATTATTATGAGTTTACCTTAGTCGGAAAACAATAACGAGGATCGAGGATCCGGCAACAAGACAGGTTACTTTAAATCGAGCGTCCCAAAC